TCTAGAACAAAGCTACCAGGAACAATGAGAATCAGCTGTATTTTCTGAGTAGAATTTTTATCGCCTGCAGCAAAGGGCTTCCTTTCTCAAGACCCAGTCTGATGCATTCTGCAAACAGCACACCTTGAGATGGGTCCGCAGGTCAAGAAAACATCCCCAAGGGTCCCGGTAGCCCCATCTGAGCCACTGTCCCCAGAGTGCCCCATCTGGATTCCTAACATGGTGGATGCGTTCTGCCTGACCTAGAACTTCTCATATCTGGAATTGCACATTTTTGTTTCGGTTTTTGTTTTTGTTTTGAGACAGAGTCTCGCTCCGTCACCCAGGCTGGAGTGCTGTGGCATCAGCCTAGCTCACAGCAACCTCAAACTCCTGGGCTCAAGTGATTCTCCCGCCTCAGCTTCCCTAGTAGATGGGCCTACAGGCGTGCACCACCACGGCCGGCTAATTTTTCTGTTTTTAGTAGAGATGGGGTCTTGCTCTTGCTCAGGCTGGTCTTGAACTTCTGGCCTGGAATGATCCTCCTGCCTTGGCCTCCCAGAGTGCTGGGATTACAGGTGTGAGCCACCGAGCCCGGCCCACATTTGGTTTTAACTCTGCCTCTCCCCACCGGCACGGTGGCTGTGAGGGCCAGCCTGTTGTGCATGGTGGTCCCTGCCTCCTCTCCACTGCTGCACAGAATTCCAGCGCCTGAATTCAGCACAAATTATTCGTTCCACAGTGGACATTCTTGTCAAGGCTGTCGTGGACGACACGTACACGTTTCTCTCGGGTGAGCACCAGCAGCGGGGTGCTGGGTCTCAGGGGAACTGCACGGGCAGCTTGATAAGAACCTGCCAAACCGTTTTCCAACGCAGCCGCACCAGCAGGGGTTAGGGTTCTGGTTGCCCCATCTTTGCCAACGCTTTGCATTTTCAATCTTCATTGGATGATTTAAAAAAAAAAGTTTTATTAGCTATAATTTACATGCCATGAAAATTACCCATTAAAGGTGTACAATTTAGTGGTTTTGATAATTTCACAGTTGCGCAGCTTATCACCAAAATCAACTTTAGAGCATTTCATCACCCCCAAAAGAAGCCCCGTCCCTGTCAGCAGTCACTTCCCCCCCTCCAGTCCCTGGCACCCACGAGTCCACTTCCCGTCTCTGTGGCTCTGCCTGTTCTGGACATTTCATATAAACGGAGTCTCACACTGTGTCCTCCTGTGTCTGGCGTCTCTCGCTGAGCACGATGTCCTCAAGGTCCATCCACACTGTGGCCTGTGTCAGAGCCTCGTTCCTTTTGTGGCTGAGTGACATTCCAGTGTGTGGATGCACCGCATTGTGTATGTTGGGCATTTGTTTTTTTTCCATTTTTGGCTGTTGTGAATCATGCTGCTGGGAACATTCACGTACAAGTTATTGTGTGGCCATGTGTTTTTAGTTTTCCTGGGTGCACACCTAGGAGTGGCACTGCTGGGTGATAAGGCAACTCCTTGTGGGTCGTTTTGAGGAATGGCTTGCCCTGCCACAAGCCCAACTCTCTTTGGAAGGCCTGGGCTCCCACCCAGCAGGCCTCTTTCAGGCTGAGGCCACAGGCAACTAGAACAACCTCTCCGGGAAAAGGAGCTAGAAGTGTTTTGGACTCAGAGGTTTAAAGAGTTAAAACAGGAAACCCTTTTGAGAGGAGCCCAGCTCCAGCTGAACTCCCCCGGGGGCAGGGAGAACTGCAGGCCTGGGGGAGAGCTGGTGGGGTAGGTCTGGGTGGGTCTGGCCAGATAAGAGCCAGGGCTTTTCCCTGTGGCCTGAGGGCCTATGGGGGGAGGGGAGAGGCTGGTCCCCCAGAGGTCTGGCTTTGGGAGGAGGAATCCTGGGAAGAGAAGACCCTTTCAACTAAGACTAACCTTGACAATCCAGGAATGTATCTGGGACTCGCCCAGACCCTTTCAGGGATGGGGCAGTTCTTCCAGGTGGGGGCTGGACAGGAAGTGGAGGGGGTGGGGGAGGAAGGAGGCCTGGGCTCTCCTGGAAGCTCCCCCCTCCTGCACCGTCCTCCCATTCCCAGTTGAAGGGGTGGGACGGGCCTGGAGCCTCAGTTGGTGGAGCCAGATTCTGGCTCTGAGCATTGTGGGGCCAGAGTAACGCAGCTCAGTTCTGCCCACGTCCTGGCTTCAAGGCTGGGTGCAACCGAAATCTGGAAAATGGGCTGGGAGACTGGCCTACGGCCCTGCCCTAGGGCTTCTGTAATTAAGGCAACAAACAAATTGACAAACACTGTAAAACTATTAAACCATTTCCATTTCTTTTTCTTTTTTTTTTTTGAGACAGAGTCTCACTCTGTTGCCTGGGCTAGAGTGTTGTGGCGTCACCCTCCCTCACAGCAACCTCAAACTCCTGGGCTCAAGCGATCCTTCTGCCTCAGCCTCCTGAGTAGCTGGGACTACAGGCATGCACCACCACGCCCGACTAATTTTTTTCTATATGTTTTTAGTTGTCCACCTAATTTCTATTTTTTTAGTAGAGATGGGGTCTCGCTCTTGCTCAGGCTGGTCTCTGAGTCCCCAGCTCAAAGGATCCACCCGCCTCAGCCTCCCAGTAGGCATGGCCTAAACCATTTCCATTTGAAACACACAACACAGCCCCTGGGGAGGAGAGACAAGCCTAGCCATGCTCCCTCATTTTGACAAAGGGGTAAACCGAGGCACAGCTTTTCCCCTGGTGCCTGAGGCCCAGCAGGCCCCTCCCTGGAGTTTAGAGTTTAGTGGTTTAGCAGCTTCCAAGGCCTGGGCTCTCGGCCCCACCTCTGGGACTCCTCCCCCAGGCAAAGTATCATTTTCAAAATGGTAACAAGCAAACCCATGTGGTTCCCAAACAAATGCAAGGTGAGCATGGTCCCCACTTGCCCTGAATCTTTAATGAAGGGAGCAGCTGGCTGGCTGGCAGGGCTGGGAGGTGAGGACAGAAGAGAAAAAGGCAGGCAGGCAGGGGTGCCCTGGGGCATCTCCGTTCACTGGGGCTCTGCACAGGACAGCTAACTTGTAAAACCCCAGGCTCCAAGCCTCGGTTCCTGCAAGGCCATCGCAGGGAAGACAGAGGCCTCAGGTGACTTGGGGGAGGCTCTCCAAGCTTTGGGTGGCGCATTGGTGGCCCCCAAAACGATATTCCCACATCCTGATCCCCGGAACCTGTGACCATGACTTTATTTGCAAAAAGGGTCTTTGCAGGTGCAATGAAAGTTCTTGAGATGAGCATACTATATTGCCCAGGGGGACCCCAAACCTGGTAACATGTGTCCTGCACTGTTTTATTAGAGAGGTCAAGGCAGGCTGTTCTGATGAAGGGACCTTGTGCAAAGTCCCCAACGCCGGGGCGTGAAGCTGGTTTAGGGAAGGATCTCCCAGAAAGGAACAGCCTTTCAGGGGGCCAGGCCCGTGTGGCCACAGATGAAGCCAGAAACTGGATGGGGACTGGTGGCCTGGGGCCTGCAGGGCGGCAGGGTGGACACTGGCCGGCCTTTATTCTAGGCAAGCCAGGAGCCCTGGGAGGGCCTCGATGGGAAGTGGGTTTTGACAGGATTCCGGTGGGGCAGACCGGTGCTTGGAATCCGGGGGGTCTCCCCCAGTGTCACCTGCCCATCTGCTCTGAGGATGGGTACCCATCCCTGGCACAGCCCCTCAGAGAGCAAACCAAACAGAGCAGCCGGCCTGGTGGCAGCGAATCCACGGGAATGCGCGCCGGGGCTTCTCCTAAATCCTCCGGGACATTCCTGATTAGCGATCCGGGCGGGCTGGTGAGCTAGGGCCAGAGGACCTTACCGCGTGAGGCCTCCGTGGAAATCGGCAGCCGCCCCTAATCCTGGCTGGAATCCTCTGGCGGCAGCGCGCGGCCGGACTCCAAGGCTCCTGGGCCCGCGCCAGGCCCGCCCGCGGGTCTCCACGCGGGCCCGGGGCGCCAGGGTGCCGGCCTCGCTGCCGCGGAAACGTCCCTGCTACCCCGCCCCGGGCCGGTGTGGAGGAAGAACCCCCTTTCCAGCAAGGACTCCCTGCAAACGGGTCAGGACGACTCCCCTGCGCCCGGAGCTGTGCCCAGGCCCCGATGCCCAAGGTGGTCCCCGGCTTGCAGCGCGGGTTCCCTAGCGTGCAAGGGCTGGGGGTCCCGGCCGCCCTGCCCGGGCCCTGCTCCCACCCACCCCCCGCACCTGTCAGGGAGCCACCCTCGCCCATTGCCTGGTGGACTTTCCCTGGGATCAGCGCCCTGGGGAACTAGTTTAGGGTGTTTCCCCGCTGCTGGGATGTGGGTTGGAGGCCCCTGAGGGAGGATTCAGCTCTTCTTGGTGACTTTGGGACCCAGGCCTCAGTTTCCCCAGGTGTACAGTGGGGGTGGCCGTCCACGGTGCGTGCCCGGGCCTCAGTTTCCCTATTCCTGTAGCCAGCAGAGCGGACGGGGCCGGGCTTCGCAGCTCTGGGGCGAACAAAGGATGGTCCAGGGAGACTCCGTGGCCAGCTGTGCAAACAGCGACCTCCACCTCCCGGCGGCCCGATGACTTAGGAGTAAGCGCTCAGTTTGAATCCTCCTTTTTGGCCATGTGCCCACAAGCAAGATGGAGCCTTTCAGGCTTCCTGCCCGACTCCAAGATGGCGAGGTGCCTCCCTTGGCTCTCACGCCCTAGGCGGGCGGCCTCTGCCCGATTGCAAGATGGCGGCAGCCTGGGGCAAGCACGCTTCCCGCCGCCTGACTCGCCACGTACCCACTCTCAAGATGGCTTCTCTCCGCGAAGCCATGCGCCAGACGGCGGCTCCCTCACTAATTCGACGCCATCACGTGCTCCCACCTTTTCTCCCCTCCCCCGTCTCCGTAGGACGTTTCCGCCTTCAGCCCTGACGGCCAGCCACTTCCTCCAGTAGGCTCCCGCTACCCGTCTTGGCCCCGCCCCCGCACGGCCTTCTGGCCACTGGCAGGCGCCAACGGGAGCCCGCGGGGCTCGCCCCGCCCGCCGGCCGCAGCGGGAGCCAATGGGCAACGCGCGCGGGGGACGTGTGCGGGCGTCTCCGCCATCTTGTGAGTCTATAACTCGGAGCCGTTGGGTCGGTTCCTGCTATTCCGGCGCCTCCACTCCGTCCCCCGCGGGTCCGCTTGGTGTGCCATGGACGGGTGAGTCGCCAGCGCCGCGCGCCCGCCGCCAGCCGCGGCCTTCCCTGCTCGTCCCGCCGCGCCGACCCCACCTCCGTCCGCCTGTGGGCTCCGGGGCTGCCCCTCCCCCGCCGCGGCGCGCGGGAAACGGCTGTGGGGTCGGGCGAGACGGCGGCCACCCCGGCCCGTGCCCCCGGGGCCGGCCGCTTCCGGCCTCCGCGCCCCGCCCGATCGCACGCGACCCCCTGCCCCGGCGTCCCCGGCGCCCCGCGGCCTTCCCCGCCCGGCCTCGCGCGCCCCGAATGGCCCTTCCCGCTTCCCGTCCGCGTCCCGCGCGCCTGCGCAGCCGTCCGCGCGCCCGGCGGACCCGGTGCGCGTGCGCGGCCCTCGGCGGGGGCGCGCGCCTTTCCCGCCGCGCAGACCTGGCCCGCGCCCCGACCTCCGGCGCCCCTCGGCGGCCCGGAAGGCCGGGGTGGGCTCGCGAGCCTCCCCTTGGCCCGGCTCGGCGTGGGGAGAGGCCCGGGTCACGTGCGCTCTGGCCCCCAGGCCGCAATGGTAGAGTCCAGGCAGAGTTAGGCCCAGCTTGCGGAGAGGGCGCAGCCCCGGGAGGGGCCCGGTGCGGGCGGGGGGGCCTCTCCGGGAGCCCCTGTCCGGACCCCCGCCGGGGCGCACAGTGGGGTGGTGAGGGCTGGAGGGACGTCTGCTCCTCGACTCTCTGGCCGAGCTCTCCGCCTTGGCCTCCTCAAGGACCCACCTGAGGATGTGCCGGGCACGGCGCGGGGAGCGGCCTCGCGGACCGACGGGGAAAGGCCATTTTATGTAAAGCACTTCCTGTGGCGGAGGCCCTCCCCGGGAACGGGCAGCGGGAGAGGCTGCAGATGCTTTGCATTCTTTAAGTTTTTCATTGGCTTGGTAACTTCTAGGTTTTGGTTAGGAAGCAGCCCCCGAGCTTTTGTGTGTTACAGCGAGGGGCGGAAGCCCCTGCAGTGGGTCTGCGGGCCCTAGAATGAGTGGAAGTTAGGTGGTCCTGCGACAGCAGGCGGGACTGGGGCTTCAGGCTCTGAGTCGCCACACTTTGGCTATCGGTGCCCTGAATTTGCCTCCCTGGGGCAGGAGGAGGTTGGGAATGCCAGGGACAATGCCAGGGACTGGGCAGGTGCAGGTGGGCGCTGCCTTCCGGTGAGTGCGGCTTTGGGGAGGCCAGGTGCGTTTGGAGGACCCTCCTGGACAGACATCCTCTGAGTCACGTAGGGCCTTGGAGGGCTCAGTGTTTTGCGTTGGGAGCTGGTCCTCGGTGAGTTGCCAGCAGCTGCAGGGCCGGGGCAGCCATGTTTCCCGAGGAGGGGAGAAAGTCCAGTCAGGCAGAGCCAGGGTTGATGAGTAACTTGGGTTGTATTCCGGCAGGTCTGTTAATTTTAACCATTCGTTTCAGCTGCCACCCCCGTCCTTCCGTAGTGGGTTAAGCTCCCCATGTGTTCAGAGTCACTTTCTAGAGTGGGTGACTCTAGAGCACCCCAGCCCACCCCTGCCCGGGTGGAAGCTCTGCCTGTGAGTTTGCCGCTTTCTCGGCCTGTCCCAGGCATTTCCAGTTTTATAGAAAGCAAACAACACACTTGAACTTTAACTGCAAGCATCCAGCATCCCTCCCGTAGCTGTTGAAGGGGGATGTCTTTTGTCTTTGGACCTTGGGTGCAGCAGGGCAGGGCCTGGGGTCCTGCTGGGAGGGACAGGCACTAAAGGACAATGGTGGCCCCATTTCAAGTTGATTAAGTGGAAGGCTCAGTTCCCTGCCTTTCTGAGCTTTCTAGCTAGTGGGGGCCCCTGTGCAGCCAGAGGGAGCCCCACTGGTGCTGCGGTGCTACTGCTCCTCCTGCTGCGGTGGTGGGTGGCAGGGGCGATCTCCAGACCCCGCTGGCCCTCCAGGCCTCTTCCTGCCCGCTGAGTGGCACACCTCGCTAACGTTTTCTCCTTTTCTCTCTACAGCATTGTCCCAGATATAGCAGTTGGTACAAAGGTAGGCATTTCTCACTTTGCTTCTTGGTTATGCGCACTGGGCCTCGTCCCCTACTGCTGGTTTAGACTGGAGGGTACTGTTTTCATTCCTGAAGCGACACACTCCCATCGGTTTACCGTTTGGACTTGGGTGATAAGGTTGGCAGGCCAGGAGCTCTTGAAAACATGAGAGGTTTGAGCCCTGTCAGCACCGGGTTGTACAGTTCCAGGCTGTCACGTGGGTTTCCAGTGGTTAGATTGGGTGGCCAGGCCCTCAATTCAGAATCCGTCCTTCATCTTTTACGGCCACAAGCCTTGGTTTTGGACCTCTTCTGCTCTGAAAGTCAGAGGCAGCGAGAATGCTGCTTTTAAGTAGGCTGTCTTGGTTTCGATAGGAAGAGTCACCTGTCTTTGAGGGGAGGTCTGGTCAGACTCTGAACATTTGATGGGGTGAGTGGTGGGAGGGGGCTGGGAGGTGCTGGGGCTCTTGATACTGTGTCTTTTAATGGCATAGTGGCTCAGGGCAACTGTTGTATGTGAGCTCTGAAGTCCAGAGCTGGGAGGAAGGGGCGCTCTGTTTCCCTGTGAGGTGAGAGCTGGGACAGCCTGTCAGCTTGTGGCTTTGTTTTCCTCTCTCCCAGTTGAGGACCAGACTTTGTGCATTTGAGGAAAGGGGGGTCACAGCCTGGTGTGTGAAGTGCAGGGAGGCCTGGCTTTCCTCCAGGGTTGCGGGACGTGGGCCTTGGGTCTTGACTGGCCATCAGCACGGTGCTGGTTAACTCAGTCTCTGGCAGTTGCCATTACCTGCCTGTTCCAGGTCCGGTTGTGGTTTGGGGATGCTCCCTGACTTCAAGGCTTGCCCCCCTGAGCCTTCTGCAGGGCGAGCCTGCCATGGTGTCTTGAGCAGACGGCAGGCTGGTTGCTGGTTTCTTGGTCAGTTGGTGGTGCCTGGGCCGGTTTCGGTTTTTCCCAAATGGACTGCTGTCTTTACAGGCCACCTGCCCCGATCTTCCTGCAGATAAAACCTGTTTGTTCAGTGTCGGGAGGAGGGAGAGGGACTTTCGTCTGAAGCACTTGTAACAATCACTGAATATGTCTGGCTTGGAAGTAATCCTCTTCCTGGCTCCTGTGGGAGCAGCTTTCCAGCTGGATCAGCTCTTAGACGCCAGGGGCCGGTCTTCGGAAGCCCTCCTCCTGTTCCTGGGGGGCTTGTTGGTCAGATATGGAAGCCAAACCTAGACATGATAGAAACCTGGAGGCTTTGGTGCCTGAAGCAGCACCTGCCACTTGGAGGTTGGTCCCCCTGCCAGCACAGCCCCTGGCCAGAGGGAAGGTGGGTGGGGCTGTGCCCAGGGCTGTTCTGGTCATCTAGGTGTCCCCATCACTCAGCCTCGGGGAGGTATGGCTGTCCTATGCCCACACCTGGCCTCTGTTGTCCTTATCCCAGGATTAGAACGGGCTTCTGTAAGCGAGTGGGTTGAAGACCGTCAGTGTGTGGGGCCCGAGCTGTTGATTGAGAAGTGAGGGCCCTGCCACTCACTGCAGTCCAGGTGCCAAGCAGGCCTCACTTGGGGGCTTTTCCTGTCGGCACTCAGCAACTTCAGGCCTCGTGCCAGGATGTCCTGGTGTTCCCCGCCAGCCTGGCCCTTAAGGCAAGGTGGTGGGACCTCACCCGAGCCTCCGTCTGGTTGGTTCTGCCCTGGCCTGGCTTGTGTTCCCCCAAGGCGCTGGGTGTCTCCATGCTTCGGGGTGCTGCTGGCTAGCTGCGTCTGTGTCAGCCCCCAGTGGGCACAGAGTTTGTCTGCCACAGACGGTTGTGGGCGCGCCAGCCCTTGGCCCATGGGAACACGATTAGGGCCTTGGGCAGGCGGCCAAGAATACTCTCCGAGGAAATTCTGGCCCCGCCTGCTACTCCAGTCAGAAACGGAAGCCAAGATGCCCTTTTTAAGGTTTGTGCAGCCGGCACATGGGAACCGCATGGGTGCCTGGCCCCTGGCCAATGGGGGGAGGGCTGGCCCTAGTGTCCCATATGAGCTGCTCTGAGCTCCCCCAGCCTCTGAGCAGGAGGGGGCCGAGTGACTTTGGTGCCAGTGCTGGGAAGGCCCGGGGGCGAGACCGTGCCTCTCAGGTGCCCTGCCCGTGCTGGGCACGCCTGTCTTTCTCATCACCTGGCTTCCCCACGTGGACGCTGGTGCAGCTCAGCGGGTGCCGACAGCGTTCTTCCCACACTGTGTGCAGCCCACTTTGCTCGCACAAGACAGGTGGCTAAAGCCCAGGCCCCTGGACTTGGCATGGGGGCCTGGGCTTACATGGGCATGAGGTGCAGCGAGGAGGGCTTGTTTTGGGCGTTTCTCTTCATTTATCCCTGATCTGTATTCGTTCTTTGACCCTGAAGCTGGGAGTTTCCCCTCCTAAGCCTTTGCAGGTTTTCAGGTGCTTGTTCTGTGGGCCTCGTAGGATTTGCCTTGGGCTTGGGGGGAGCTGCTGCTGGTGGATGGCTTGGCCTCAGGGGCTCGCCCACAGCAGTGAGGGCTGCCCCGCTTCTTGGGTCCTTCCCACCCGGTCTCCAGACCTGGCCTCCTGCAGTGCAGTGGGCTGGGGCCATGGAGGAGCCCCAGGGCTTCAGGAGGGGGTGCTGGTGGGGGGGGGTCACAGCTACATCCCCCCTGGCCTGGGCCCTGAGGTCTGTGTGGGAGTAAAGGGAGGAAGCCGGCTGGCCTTGCTGTCCAGGCCTGGGGGACAGTGGAGCTGGGGCAATGGTGCCCTGGTTTGCACGCTAGTTTCTCTGCACATGACTGCTTGAGGGTGGGGGTAGGGGGTCTCGTTTCTTGGCCCCACCCTGCTGCTGCCCAGGGACAGGGCCCTTCCTCTGCTCCCCGCACTCGCCCTCGTAGCCGGGAGCACAGTGGGTGGCTTGGGGCGGGGTGCTGTCCTGGGGTGCTTGGGGGCTGCCGCTTAGGCCCCCGCTGCCGCGCTGTATAGGTCGATGCTAGCAGCGCCTGTTAAGTTCTTGTGCTTCAGGGTCCTCAGACTGCGTTTCTGTTTTCCGTGTAACTAAGGACAGTCACCAGCATCTTCTCCAGTTTCAGTTTTTGAATAAACTTGTGTGTCTTCAAGCCTCGCAGAAGGGGGGACGTCTGCTTTCCTAAGTCCAGGGTCTCCCAGTGTCATTCTTAGGGGTGAATCAGTTAGATTGGGAATAATGAGAACACAAATTGTCTTTGGAAAAAAATGGAGGAGTCAAAGTGGGGGGTGGGGCGGGGTTTTGAGCTTCCCTCCTCCGGTTCGCAAGCCCAAGTTGAGTGAGCGCCCGCCGTTACTGGATAGCGCCGCCCGCCGCATAAAGAGGTAGTGTTTCCAGTCGCCCAAAAGTGTGCCGGGCCCGGGCTCGGGTTTCCTTGGGGGCTGGGAAATAGGACGACTCCTGCTATTGGAGAGCGGGGGCGGGGCTCTGTCCAGCCACCTGTCTGGACTCCCAGGTCCCTGCTGTGCTCCTGTGGGCAGGCTGGCTCCACCTGGCTGGTGGTGGGAGGCCCCAGGCCTGCAAGGAGGGCGGCCATACCCATGGATGCCACACCCATGGACGTGGGAATGGTACAAGCAGAGCCCTGTAGGTGGCAGCCTCCCAGCCCCACTGGCCGAGTCTCCCAGGGTTCCAGGATTTGGAAAAGTGGCAGTGTCTGGGTTGTGAGACCTGGGCGCCGGGTGTGGCAGGTGGGCACTCGGTGTCTCTAGAGACTGGCCAGTTGTAGGGTGGGGCCAGGCCTTGGCAGTGAGAGTGTGGTCAGGGGTGCTCAGAGAACAGCAGGCTGCGCAGGTCGTCTTGGGCCTGGAGGGCTGAGGGTCTCCGGCCAGCGGAAGCAAGTGCAGGTCAACACTGTTCTTGTCTCTTCCAGCGGGGATCTGACGAGCTCTTCTCTACTTGTGTCACTAACGGACCCTTTATCATGAGCAGCAGCTCAGCCTCTGCAGGTAACACCACTTGCCTGGGGCGTGGCCTGAGGCCGCAGCCAGGGCCCCACCTGGTTTGTGGTGTTTTCCCCACCAGTTGAGATCCTGTACTGGCCGGCCATCTTAACCGGGCCTTGAGTCGGTACCTCCCGTGTGTGGTTCACGCTGGCCACAGCCCACACTGCAGTCCCACTGGGACTCGGGCTGCAGAGTGTTGTGAGGGTGACGTGTAACGGTCCATACTTGCCCTGGATTTGTAGGGGAGGGCTGGTATAAACCCTAACCCTGGCACGGTTCCCGTACAGCTCCCTGGGAGCCCAGGGGGACTCTGGGAGGACAGCAGCGGCAGGGAACCTGCCAGTTCGTGGGTCTCACCCCAGCCCCGCTTTTCAGCAAATGGAAATGACAGTAAGAAGTTCAAAGGTGACAACAGAAGCGCCGGTGTCCCCTCCAGAGTGATCCACATCCGCAAGCTCCCCAGTGACGTCACCGAAGGGGAAGTCATTTCCCTGGGGCTGCCCTTTGGGAAGGTGACCAACCTCCTGATGCTGAAAGGGAAGAACCAGGTACCTGCCACCTGGCGAGCCTGGGCTCCCTCCACAAGGGCCGTGGGCAGGCGCGGGGGCTTGTGCGGGGCCGGCCGCTCACAGCCTCTCCCACAGGCCTTCATTGAGATGAATACCGAGGAGGCCGCCAACACCATGGTCAACTACTACACCTCGGTGACGCCCGTGCTGCGTGGCCAGCCCATCTACATCCAGTTCTCCAACCACAAGGAGCTCAAGACCGACAGCTCCCCCAACCAGGCTGTACGTCCCCACCTGGGGAGGGGCCGGTGGGGTGGGCTGGGCCGCATGGGGCCGCAACTCACAGCAATGCCTCCCACAGAGGGCCCAGGCGGCCTTGCAGGCAGTGAACTCGGTGCAGTCGGGAAACCTGGCCCTGGCCGCCTCGGCCGCCGCTGTGGATGCGGGGATGGCGATGGCCGGGCAGAGCCCCGTGCTCAGGATCATCGTGGAGAACCTCTTCTACCCCGTGACGCTGGATGTGCTGCACCAGGTGAGGTGTCTGTCGTGGCAGAGTAATGCTTCGCTGGTGGTGGCAGGTGCCTACCTCGGGGCCGGGCGGGGGCACAGGCCCTGGAGGGGTGAGGGACCTTGCTGGTAAGTGCCGGGCAGGGGTTCAGGGCTGTCCTCGGGCACTTGCAGATCTTCTCCAAGTTCGGCACGGTTCTGAAAATCATCACCTTCACCAAGAACAACCAGTTCCAAGCTCTGCTGCAGTATGCGGACCCCGTGAGCGCCCAGCACGCCAAGCTGGTGAGTGGAGGTCCCGGGGACGCCTGCCCCGGGCCCAGCTGTGGCTTACCCGCCCCTTCTTGCAGTCCCTGGATGGGCAGAACATCTACAACGCCTGCTGCACGCTGCGCATCGACTTTTCCAAGCTCACCAGCCTCAACGTCAAGTACAACAACGACAAGAGCCGGGACTACACACGCCCAGACCTGCCCTCCGGGGACAGCCAGCCCTCGCTGGACCAGACCATGGCTGCGGCCTTCGGTAAGACGCCGCCCGGCGTGGCGCTGAGTGTGTGCAGCAGGATCTGTCAAGGATCACTCTGAGTCAGTCTGAGCAACTCGGAGGCCTGGCGACGCAGAGCCGGGCGCCCGGGCTGTGTGCACAGGGGAAAGGCTGCCTCACTCAGTCAGTGCCCAGAAGGCCCGGGCGGCATGTGGCCCTGGGCTCTGCACCCAGGGAGAGTCGGCTCTCGCGCTCCTTGCACGGCCAGCACAGCACAGTCCAGTGCACCCCACGTCTGGTACATGCACCCCCTGCCCCCACAGAGCAGCGGATCTGCCCGCGAAGGCTCTCCTTGGGGGTTGCCCACCAGCCGGGTTTGGGGCTCACCCGACACGCACGGCGCTTGCTCGCGGTGAGTTGTGGGTGCAATGATTAGTGTCTCATTTATTTCTAGGTGCACCTGGTATAATCTCAGCCTCTCCGTATGCAGGAGCTGGTTTCCCTCCCACCTTTGCCATTCCTCAAGCTGCAGGTATTCAAACACTTGATCTTGGTTCCCCACAGCCGACTGCATGCCCACACACCTTTCCAGCGCTCGCTTCCACGGGCAGCCGACGTGGGCTGGCTGGGCCCCAGGGAGTGTCCGGCCACGGGCCCTTCCTGGGAGAGGGGCAGTCAGCGCAGGGTCCCTGCTCCACAGAGGCAGCTTGTGCAGGGCAGTCAGCAGGGCTGTGGAAGCCCAGGTGTCAGGTCCTGGTGTTGGCAAGAAGCCGCTAACCGCACAGTCTTTGTGGTCTGGTTCCCTTCAAGCATCTCCGGGGCGAGCTCGAGGACCGCAGTGGTTGGAGGGATGTGTCCCTAGTAGATTGCATTGAGTGCCTGGTAAGCGAGTGGCCTCCCAGGCTGAGTGGCATGAGCCGGCGGCAGCCGCGGACACATGTGTGTGTGGCCCCGCGCCTTCCCGCTTCCCTCCTGGGCCGGGTGACCTGCCCAAGTGCTGACCGTGGACGGAGCAGCGCGTGCCCGTCCTGCGTGCCTGGTCTGCATGGAGGAGTGGGCACCAGCATGCGCACGCCGGGCACAACCCGGGACAGGCCCTGCTTGCAGAGGGCCCGTGTCTGCATTTACGGAACTGGAGCTTTTTTGTGCTGTCCGGGCGCATGCAGTTGGGTCCAACCCCAGCACAGCATCTGTGCTGTGAGGAGAGGTGGGTGCGCTGGTGCAGGAGCCAGCTGGTGTGGCTATTCCAAGGGGTCTGGGGTGACCCCACAGGTATCCTGGGTAGAGCCAGATGCCACCTTCATCGTGGTTTATGCATGAGGACGGGAAGGTGTCTGCGTTCTCCCTCTTGGTGGTAGAACGAGGGCGCCACTGCTCATTTCCTGACCGCCTCTTCCTTTTCAGGCCTGTCTGTTCCTAACGTTCACGGAGCCCTGGCCCCCCTGGCCATTCCATCGGCAGCGGCGGCAGCAGCGGCGGCAGGCCGGATTGCCATCCCAGGCCTGGCAGGGGCAGGAAACTCTGTCTTGCTGGTCAGCAACCTCAACCCAGAGGTATGTGGGTTTCTCTCCCAGGCTGTTCTCCTAGGAAAGTGCGCAGGGGTGGTTGTGCTCGGTCGTGGGTCTTAGCGGCCGTGCTGGAGAACAGATGTGTCCTCGGGCCAGCGCAAATGCCCGCCACCCCCGTCCTGGGTCGGCGCTGCCCTCCCTGCGCGTCTGCAGCTGGTCCCGCGCAGCCCGCTCTGCTGGCGTCACTCACGTTACTCTCCTTTCCCAAGACGGCTTTGAGTTTTCCTGTTTTCTTTAACAACTTGATTTGCATTTTCAATTTCATAATAATTCAGAGTTGAAATATTTTTTGTTATCCAAAGGCAATCTAAAAATTAATTAGAGCCAAGCAGGGTGCAGTTTAGAGACCCGGTGTGTGCCCTGCACGTCCTCTGGGTGAGCCCGGGCGTCGGCAGCCCGCAGGCCGCAGGCGGACGTGTCCACTGTCTGAATGGTGGATTTTTATTTGTCAGAATGGCTAAATTTGGCTTGAAGAGCTTGGATGAGATAATACAGGCTCGAAACACTTAACTCCTGATTGATGGGATTAGCATTTAATCAACATCTCAGACTCTTTTGATCTGTCTGACGACTCCTGTGACTTTCTCTGAGGCTCTGAAGGCGGGCTGGCGCTGACCTCCCGCCCACCCCTGCCTCTGCCTCCTCGTCATGAGCTGTCACTATCCATCTAGCTTGTCCTGAGCTAGACACCTAGTGAAGCTGTGAACTAACAGACTCAACTCCTTCACTGCCTGTAATCGTGGTCAGAGACTCAATCTGTGCACAGCCGCAGGAGACGGCACTGCCCGCCGGGCGGGAGTGGGTGCACCCGGGCCGCGCTCGGACGAGGTTGGGCGTCCTGGGCTCCGGCCTGCAGTGGGACAGGGCCGCCCCCGAGGCAGCTCCTTCCGTGGGGCGTGGTGTGGAACGGCCTGTGGAGGACCTGGGCAGTATCTTCTCCTGCGGGCTGTGTGAGTGAGGTGCTTTCTTATCGTGTGTTCCTTGAGGTAAACCTGTAACTTGTGATGTGTGTAGAGCGTGACTGGTGGAACACTACCTGATTTTCTTATGTATTTACTGACCTGTGTTTTTTTGCTACTTTTTTTTCTTTTCTCCCCTTCCCCTCTCCCAATTTTTTTTCTTGCCCTGATCCGGAATTTCTTTGCCAACTGACTGCACGGTACTTCTGCTTCCTGTTGTTGCTTGAAACAAAACAAAAACATAAATAAATAAAAACAAAAATTCCCCCTCAAACCCTGCTCTCCGGAAACCAACCTGCCCTTGAATATTAACATCCTGACAACTTCATCATCCATCAACCACTGCACGCCTGCGGGGACTGTCTTCCTCGTGGTGGACGATTGGCAACTCGCCCCCCTGACCTCTCCCTCTCCCCTGTCCCTCCGCTGCCTTGCTCTGCTGTTCTCTAAAGAGAGTCACACCCCAAAGCCTCTTTATTCTTTTCGGTATGTTATCATTCACACTTTTATTACCTTGTTTTCATTTAATTGAGGTTATTTTCATGCCCTGAGACGTACTATGAGTTTGCAGTCCGGCTCTCTGCTCCCTGGCATTCTGCCTCGTTGTATGGTTTGCTTCTGGTTTGCGTATTTATTTTGGTCCCTAGATACGCATGGTTTATTGCCCTGCATGCTTTTCAAAGAGTAAAACATGTTGGTAGCATGCTGAAGTGATCATTCCTTGGCAATTATCTGTCCTGGAGTTAGGACTTTGCTGAACTCAGTGGCTCCTGTTAACGTGCCTGGTGGCTGCTAGACACAGGCGCCCCAGGGGCAGCATAAGCAAACCCGGCCGGGCTGAGCCGAGCCTTGAGGGGTGCGCGGGGTCTAGGAGGGCAGGCGGGGAGACGGGAGGGCGTCGGTAGGGACTCAGAGGCCTCCTCGTGCCTGGACTTTTGAAGGCGTTTACGGAGACGTGCAGAGGGTGAAGATCCTCTTCAACAAGAAGGAGAACGCCCTGGTGCAGATGGCCGACGGCAGCCAGGCCCAGCTAGGTGAGGGCTGGAGGTGGGGCGGGGCCAGGGGCGGGGGAGCTGCGGCCAGCCTTGGGTGCCTGGTCACACCTGTCCCCCTCCCTGTCCAGCCATGAGCCACCTGAATGGGCATAAGCTGCACGGGAAGCCCATCCGCATCACGCTGTCCAAGCACCAGAACGTGCAGCTGCCCCGCGAGGGCCAAGAGGACCAGGGCCTCACCAAGGACTACGGCAACTCGCCCCTGCACCGCTTCAAGAAGCCGGGCTCCAAGAACTTCCAGAACATCTTCCCGCCCTCGGCCACCTTGCACCTCTCCAACATCCCGTGAGTCCCTGGAGCGCGGGGTGGGTGTGACGGATTTCAGAGCTCGTGAGGTCGTCCTGCCTGTCCAGGGCTTGGGCCCGGTGCTCACAGAGCATAGGTGGAGCATCCCGGTTAATCCAAAAGCCAAGATGCTGCTGTATCTGAAGTTTTTTGAGCACCGAGGAGAAATGTTCCTTGCAGCATTTGCTTTTTTTCTCCCCCAGAGTAATGCAAATATTTAGAAATCCAGATCAGTTCTGGTCCCAGGCATTTTGGACAGGGACACTTAACCTGTAGTAAACGTAGGTTTTAACGTAGATGATGCTTTTTGTCAAATTTTCACAAAAGAAAATTCATGAGGAGAGGGACCACTTTGTAGTTTTGCAAACCTGGCGGACATTGATTTATAGAAGCTGAGTGGAGTCTTTGCTCTCCACGCTGTTTCTGGTCATTGTGAGAGGCCCCCACGCCCCGCTAAGGGCCACAGGGGCGCAGTCCCTGTCCGCATGCCCGGCTCACGCCCCATCTCCCACAGGCCCTCGATATCCGAGGAAGACCTCAAGATTCTCTTCTCCAGCAACGGCGGGGTCGTCAAAGGGTTCAAGTTCTTCCAGTGAGTATGCGCTGGGTGCCGTCCCGCCCCTGGGCTGCCCCTCTGGCCTGTGCTGACCCTGTGTCTTGCAGGAAGGACCGCAAGATGGCCCTGATCCAGATGGGCTCCGTGGAGGAGGCGGTCCAGGCCCTCATCGACCTGCACAACCACGACCTCGGCGAGAACCACCACCTGCGGGTCTCCTTCTCCAAGTCCACCATCTAGGGCGGGGCGCCCTCGGCCGGCTCCCTGGCGACAACTTCCATCATTCCAGAAAAAAGCCACTTTAAAAAGCAGCTGAAGTGACCTTAACAGACCAGAGATTTTATTTTTTTAAAGAGAAATCAGTTTACCTGTTTTTAAAAAAATTAAATCTAGTTCACCTTGCTAACCTTGTGGTGACGGTGACAGCTCAGGCTCTCGGTGACTGCGGCAGGAGTTCACCGGCCCCCGTGCCTGGGGCCAGACCACGGGCCGTGCCTTGCCGGGCGTGTCGGGCGTGGGGCCTGCAGGTGGGCGCCCCAGACACACCTGGCCTTCTGTGCCTTACAAACCTGCTCCTGCGGCCGCACACCCACCCTGCATCGGGGCGCCGAGGGGGTGGGTCACACCGTGGTGAGTGCAGAGCGGCCTCCGCAGGCTCCTGCAGGATCATGTGCCTGAGGCGTGGCAGGAGCCCTGCGCCCCAACACCCCCACCTAATCAAGTGACGTGATTCTCCCCCAGCCCCCACCTAGGTGCCCCCCAGGCCGAGGGCACCGTCCTGTCGCTTCTTCAGCTTGGGAGCTTTTCATCGTAATCTTTGTATTATACTTTGATGCAGTTGCAGACATCTGTGCCTAGCAATATTTCCAGTTGACCAAATATTCTAATCTTTTTCATTTATATGCAAAAGAAATAGTTTTAAGTAACTTTTTATAGCAAGATGATACAATGGTATGCGTGTAATCTAAATCTCCTTCTCGTGGTATTACCTTGTATACTGTGCTTTTATTTTATTCTTTGTAATTAAGTCACAGGCAGGACCCAGTTTCCAGAGAGCAGGGGGGCCAGCCCTGGGCACAGGCAGCCCCAGGTCCTTCCTGGGAACCCCTCAGGGAGGGGCCCCTGCTCCCACCTCCAGTTGCCTTACTCCGCCTCACTTGTAATTGCCTAGAAACAAGCTCTCAGACTTTTCAGGGTTTTTTTTTTTCTTTTCCTTCAAATTTTGGACCAAAGTTTCGTTGTTTTTTGTCTGCCTCCGATGCTGGGACCCAGATGGTGGGACAGGCGTCCCGAGTCTTAACTGTTCCGTCCTCCGGCCTGTGCAGGGCTGGGGGGCCCTTGGATCCCAGAGTTTCCATAAAGGAGTGTTAACAAGGGTGTAGATATTTATAATTTTTTATACCTGTTGTAGGACGTGAGGGGCAGCAACACGTGGTTTTTTACGGTGACACAGATGTATATTTTGATACCAGCGATTCCGATTCCAGGCTCAGTATTGTGACGTGGAGCGAGCAGTGACCACAGCACATTCCATTGCCCGTCCCGATGGCGTGTAATGCAGAAAGAACTCGATTAAAACAGTTTTATAACAAATTTTACCTTTTCTGTAGACCTCTTTATTGCTGTTCACATTGTAGAAGGCCCTTGGGCCGGTCTGTACTTGGACTTTGAATAAACTCCTCTGTACCCTGCGCTGGTTTCCCTCTTCATTGGGCCTGTTTTGTCTCCTCTGTCTCCTTCCTGTGCACGTTTTCCTTTCCATCCACTCTCCAGGGCCGGCCCAGACCCGCAGGGCAGGGTGGCAAGGCCACCAGTGCTTGCTGGGGCCTAGGGGAGGGGTGGGGCGTGTGGGCGGGTTCGCACCAAATGACTCAGGAGCCTCGACTCATGGATCTGCCTCTTTATTGATTTGAAGCGCTCACCCCCAGCCCCTTGTCCCTCCCACCCGGGCACCACTGCACCTCCCCCCTGGCCCCCATGGGGCCTACCGACCCCTGGGCGAGTGCAGCCCTCAGTCCTGGAACCTGCGGGCCTGCATCTTGCGGTAGTAGCTCTCTACTTCCGCCTCGCCAGCCTCCCGCTCTGCCAGCACCAGGCCGCCCGTGTGGCGCCGAAGCGTAGACTCCCGGCTGGCCGGCCCCAGCGCCCCGTCGGCTGTGCCCAGTGGGGGCAGGCCCTCGCCCGTGGCCAGGTTGACAGTGGCCACAGCCCCAAAGCGCGGCTCCTCCTGGTCCACGTCACTGATGGACGACCCGGGGGACACACCTGGCGGCCTGGACCCGCCACGGAAACCGCGAGCCAGGTCCCCCAGCTCGTACCCACCCTCGCCCTCCACGCCCTTGGCCCCGCCGCCCGCCGCCTTCCACTCCCAGGGCGCGTTACCCGCGGACAGGTGGACCACAGGGTGGTGGGGCGCGTGCGCGTCGATGGTGACGATGCTGGCCGAGTCACGGTCGGACGGCGACCGGTACTGTGAGGAGTCGGAGCTGGCGCTGGAGGACGAGGCGGTTTCCGCAGCCTTGGGGCTGGGCGCGCCCGAGGCCTTGGACATGGCGATCACCTGCAGCAGCCGTGGGGGGTTGGCCACGCGGGGCGGCGTCGTGCCCGAAGCCACGGCAGCCCCGCCCTTCTCAGCCATCATGAGCCACTTGGCACGGACAGTGGCACTGCTCTTTGGGGACAGGCTGGCCCCCGCCTGCACCCCCTCCTCGGGGATGTGCACGAGTGGCTGCGGGCCGGCCCGAGGCGGGAGAATGACCCGCGGCCCAAGACCCGGCCGAGCCTGGACAGTGGGGTAGAGGGAGGGTGGAGTGGGACCATCCTCCTCTTCCTCCTCTTCCTCCTCTTCCTCCTCCTCTTCTTCCTCCTCCTCCTCCTCTTCTTCTGCCATGGGCTCGGCCGGTGCCCGGAGGTGCCCAGGGCTGGCTTCGTCGGGCAGCCCCAGGCCACGGCCCTCCAGAGACTTCTGCTTCCACTCACTGATGAGCTGCTTGGAGCGGGAGGCGTCAAGCGGCACGTGGATGGTCATGTGGCGGCGGGCGGGGTCGTCTAGGGAGGGAGTGCTGACGCGGGGCAGCGTGTTGCTGAAGGTCACCATGTTCTCCTTGCCCATGGGGCTGCGTGGCGCCAGCAAGTCCACATCCACGCTGGCCCGCTTCAGGCTGCCCAGAGACGTCTTCTCCCGGGCCACGGGCCGCGGCACACCCTCCAGCCGCCCGGGGGGGCCCAGCTCATCTGTGCTCACAGACTTGTTCTGCTGGTAAACCGAGTCGTGGCCCCGCTGCGTCAGGGCCCGCAGCGCGTCCTTGGCAGGTGCAGGGGCTGCTGGTTTCTCTGCGGGAGGGGCCTGGAAGTTGCCCACTGCGTGGCAGGCCTGGTGGGGAGAGGAGAGCCAGGCGTGAGGCCACCCCTGCCCGACTTGCCGCCCAGGAGCCTGAGGGTGGAAGCAAGTTTGTTCCCAGGGGGGAGTGAATTCCAACCCCAAAGTCGCAGACACTGACATTGGGGAAGGCACTTCAGAATGCCCTGGGCAGGGCTGCGTCCCCACCAGACCCCCGCGGCTCACCAGGTAGGCAGCGATGCCAGCACCGATGAGGAAGCCGGCGTAGACATCCACGGGGTGGCTGCGGTACTGCGTGATCTGAGTGAGCCCGCAGACGCCCGCGGCGATGGCAAACGCGAACACCAGGATGGGCTTGAGCAGCTTGGTGGTGTCCGAGATGACCGAGTTGAAGTACATCTGGGGGCACGGCAGGGTGGAGGGTCAGCGCGGCCGGTGGGTGGCATGGGCAGGGGCTGTGGGGGCCACACTCACCGACACGTAGACCGCGGCAAAGGCTGACAGCGTGGCGTGCTGGGACGGGAAGGTCTTCCTGCAAGAGGAGCCCGGTGTGAGCACCACTGACTCTGGGACTCTGATTCCAGTGGCCTCCCATGCCTCAGTTTCCCCGTATGTTCACAGGAGGTGGAAGGAGAAAGGGGTGTGACGTTCCCACCCAGGGCGTTGAGAGCTTGGCTCACCTTGCGGACAGGATGGCGTGGGTGTCGTGGCCAGAGCAGATGTCCTGCGTGATATAGGGGTTGACCTCACACGACGTGCCCAGCATTGTGTAATTGGGTTTGCAGACCGTGAGGAAGAAGGGCGCGTGGTAGCCCGTGGCCAGCTGGATGACATCGGTCACCAGGGCTGTGGCACAGAGGCCGAACACGTGGACGCCTGTGGGACAGGAGGGTCAGGGCCGGGGGAGGGAGTCTGTGGATTTAGGGCAGGGCCAGGCCACTGTCCAGCAACTCACCCACAAACCGGACGGTGCGACGCAGGAAGGAGTTGAAGTTGCAGCCTCCGGCGTTGATGCTGCCCTCGGTCCCGCCGAGGCCCCCGCCGCGGCCCCACAGCCGGGACTGCAGACAGTACAGCATGCCCTCGCCGACCATGATCTGCCCGACAGGGACGTCTCAGGCGGGCTCGTGGCCGGGGGCGCCCCCAGGTGAGGCCGGGCCCCTGGCTCCGCATACTCACCGAAGCGGCGGGCGCAGCAAAGGCCAAGCTGAGTAGCATGAGCAGCGGGATGAGCTCCTCGTTGGTCTCCACGTACGGCATGGACAGCGTGCGGTCGTAGCACTGGAAGCCCACCTTGGCCGGCTTGAAGAGGTCAGTCAGCTCCAGGAAGTAGAGGGACACGATGGAGGAGGCCACGATGGGCAGCTGTTGGGAGAGGGCTGGCTGGGTCCCCTGCACTTGCCACTGAGTCATCCACCCATCCCTCCACGAGCTCAGTTGCTGGACGCACCCATGCATAGCTCCAGCCAGCACCAGGGCCATTCTTGCACCTGTGACATAATTCATCCACCCACAGGTTCACAATCCATCCACCATCCATCCTCCATCCACATCTGTCCATCCATCCACCCAACCTCCCATCCGTCCATCCACCCTCCCAACCTTCCACCCATCTACCCACCCACCCACTCATCCATCCTCCCAACCATCCATCCATCCTCCATCGTTTATCTGTCCTCATCCTTCATCCTCCAACCTCCATCTTCCCATCCATCCTCCACCTATCCATCCATTAATCCATCCTCCCATCCATCCTCCCATCCATCCATCCATCCATCCATCCTCCATGCATCCTTGATCCATCCAACACACATTTACCCATCTATGCGTTTCATTCACTTTCTCCCTCCAGATACCCGTGGCCTTCTTGAACAACTTTTAAACAGCAAACACATTCCTGCCTCTGGGCTTCCCCCTTTCTCCTCCCGAGCCTGCGACGGGCTTCCCTTGGACACCCACCCTGTTCTCCAGCCATTCTCAGAGGGCCCTCTCTGGCCCTCAGACCCCCACGTGCCAATCTACCACGGAGCCCTGAGAACAGCGTCTGGCACACGGTAGGTCCTTAATGAATGGATTTGCCGAGTCACTCATTCAGGCATCCCGGTCTTGTGGCCCCCACATGTTGGGCACGGACCACACATCCTATTCCTGAACGCTCACAGCACCCTGTGAGGTACAAAGTGAGCATCACCAGGAGCAGTGGTGCACGACTGTAATCCCACCTACTTGGAAGGCCGAGGTGGGAGGAATGCTTGAGCCCAGGAATTCAAGACCAGCCTGGGCAACATAGCAAGACCTCGTCTCAAATTTTAAAAGGTATTTAAAAAGTAAGCATCATCACCCCCTTTTACAGATGGGAAACTGATGTTCAGGGAAGCTGAGCACCCGAGTTGTCTTCTACCAAGTCTCAGGGATTAGGTGTCCCAGTGAAGAGTTCGTTCATCGCTCTCACACGTGCACAGCAAACAGTTACAGGGCAGGAATTCAGGCGGGATGCTCTGATGGGAGCAAACCCTCACGGTGTGTGTCTCCCTTTCTGGCCCAAGGGTCTCAAACTTCAGCACCCCCAGGGGCCAGGATGGAGCCAGCACTGTGGGAAAAGGAGAGCATGCGTCTAAGGGGGCCTGGCTGCCTCAAGAAGCCCCCACCCCCATTTTACAGATGAGGAAACTGAGGCAAAGATGGAGCCCATGAGAGGCTCCAACTCTTGCTTTGGTCTGGTGCTGCAGGAGGGCCCCAGCCCTGGAGGGGGTGTAGGGTGGGACACAGAGACCCCCTGCCCCACAGGTCAGGGCTAGGGTGGCTCTGGACAGGTAAACGCCATAACTGAACATCCCAGGGCAAAGCTGGGCTCCAGGGAGCTGCATTCGCGTCCAAGGAGCATTTACTGAGTGCCTGCTGCATGCATGCCCAAGGCAGTTGAGTACAGCAGGTGACAGCTAATGCCTGTGCTGAAAGCCTGCTTTCCCATGGGCAGCTGGGAGACCTCCCTGTGCCTCAGTGTCACCAACTGTGAAATGGGAGGGACAGAGTAGCTGCCTCTTGGGGCTGTGACAGGAGATGAGCCTAGTCCGTAATTTCCAAGTGCTCAGAACAGTGCCTGCCGGGCACACAGAAAGTCGTCAGCAAATATTATCTGCAATTATTCCTAACGTTCCAGTCATCAGCATGATCTGGCCGGGGTCAGCGGGCAGCATCCAGCCACAGAGGGTGAGGTGGCCCTATTGGAGCCGCCACCCCTGGAGGGTGTGTAAGGACCTCAACCCTCTCCACCCACTTCTCAGTTCTTCCCGAGACCCTCAGCCAGAAACTGCAAACACCTGAGAACGCATTGGCCCAGAGCAAAATCAAATGTGTGCTTAATTTTGTGTGTTTAAAGGCAATGAAAACCCCACAAGCTGCTGACATACGGTGCTGGTGCTACCGTGGGTACAGACACACCGCACGGGCGTGTAAAACACTGCAGCCTCTATGCGGGGATCTTGGGGGGTCTCTGGCTTCCCAAGACAAGCTCTTCTGGGGATGCATCCTACAGATAAGCTCACTCTTGGCTTTCGTTATAGGAATGTCTATGTTGTTGAGGGTTAGGAGACACCCCGAGTGTCCGGCTCTGGGGACGGTACAGCAACGACGGAGCACTGCGCAGCAGTGACAAAGCGTGGGCGCCTTGCACATGACGCTGCCAAGCAAAGATCCCCTCCGGGAAAAAAGCTAAGATCAGAAACTTGTGTTTCAAAAGTGGGGGGGGGGTGAGAACAGGCATAGAGTGATTTCTACAAGGATCAGGAAACGAGGAGAGTGGGGGGAGTGGGAGGGGGCTTCTTGAGGAGGAAGCTGCCTCCACGTTGATGATGGAAGCTTGAGAAGGTATGATCTCCTGGGCCGGGGATTTAAGTGCAATTTTGAAAAATAAACAGATTTTCTACATAGTGGCTTTGCTTGTTGGGGAGGGACCCACTTCCGGGAATGAGGGAATGTTCCAGTGCAGACGCTGGCTGCGTGACCAGGTGCGGTGGCCACTTCCTTGGGTCTGGGGGCCCCTGTCCTCCACCCAAGCCCCCGAGGATGGGTAAACCTTACCCTTTGCCACCCTGAGCACTTAGTATGTGCCAGATGGTTGCTTTTATTGTCTTCTATTTTTAAAACACTCATAAAGCCCTCACTCACTCTGTGCCTGCCTGTTCTGAGTATTTTGTAAATATTTAATTCCTAGAAGCTCCACTCTGCCAGTGGGTACGCTGAGGCCCAGGGATGGTAGGAGCCATGCACCAGCCTCGCATTAGCAGACGGGTGTTTCTTTTCTTTCTTTTTTATTTTTTGAGACAGGTACCAGCCCTGCCACCCAGGCTGGAGTTGCAGTGGCGGGCCTGGAACTCGGGGCTCAAGTGATGGTCCTGGGTCAGCCTCCAGAGTAGCTGGGATTACAGGTGTGCCCCACCACACCCCACTAATTTTTCTATTTTTAGTAGAGACGGGTCTCGCTCTTGCTCAGGCTGCTCTCCAACTCCTGACCTCAAGTGATCCTCCCATCTCAGCCTCCCAAAGTGCTAGGATCACAGGTGTGAGCCATTGCACCCGGCCCAGAAGATGCTTTTGAACTCACGCACCTGAGCTTCAGGGCCCAGGTGCTGAGGAAAACACTATCGGCACCCAGGGCCCCGCCACCCTCCGCCACCTCCCCACCCCTGTTGACGGCCCTGGCGCTCCTAGCCCCAGCCCTTACAAGTGAGCTACTGACCTAGACCTCAGACCGAAAGTCCCAACTCCCAGCGTTTGCCCACACTGTGTCCACGGCCCGGAACACCCTTCTGTGCCTCTGGAACTCCTACTCGACCTGCAGAGCCCAACCCCTCTGACGCACCCTGCTATCCCCCAGGCACCTGGTTTTGCCCCGCCCGGAAGCGGCTGGGGGCAGCTGTTTCCACTCTTGTCCTTAAGCGCTGGGGTATCCAACGGCAGGAACTGAGGCCTCCCCACAGCCCCCCTAGCGCGACCCCTACTCACCTCCACGAAGTAGAAGCAAGGCAGAAGCGTCATGCTGTCCTTCGGGGTTTTATTCTTCTCCTTGGTCGAGATCATGGTGCCACCGGCGCCTCAGGCCGTGGCTGGAGGGGGACAAAGCCACTGAAAGCAGGGGATGCGCAGACTGAGCCCGGGGGGGCGGGGGGGGGCGGCCAAGGATGCGCAACAACCGCCCGGGGAAACTGAGGCTGGAGGAGAGAGGGTGTCCCCGCGGCTTCCCCGGCGCAGCGCGGCCCTGCCGCGCAACCCAGCTTCCCGGCACCTCCGCGCCCCGGCTCGGGAAGCGGGCTCCGCAAGGAGGGCGGGGCGGGCCCGGCCTGGGGGTCTCGGGGCCGAAACCGGCCCCGCGTCGGGAGGGGGCTCCTAGGGGCGCAGGCTCCGGGCGCAGGAGGAAGGGGTGGGGTGCGGCCGGGCCCGCAGCCCTCACCTGGCGCGGCCGGCGCTCGGAGGGCGGGGCTGGCGCGGCGGGGCGGGGGCTGCGGCCGGGCGAGCACAAAGCGCGGCCCGAGACCCCCGCGAGCGAGCGCGGCCGCCTAGACGCTGCGCCAGGGGCGGGGGCTCTTTGTCTCCGCGCGTCGGGGGCGCAACGCGCGTCCTTGCCTGCGCCGGGGCCCGCACGCGCCGTCCCCGCCTCCCCGGCCGCGGCTCGCGGGGCGCGGGGGTTTCGGGGTCGCGCGCCGGCGGGGGCCGGGCTCTGCGTCCCCCTCCCTCCGGGCCCCGCTCGTCTTTCTCCACGTCCTCCCCTCCCGGGCCTCTCGCGGCGGCCTCGGGGGCCCCATCGACGCGGGGGCGCAGGGGCCGGGGTCTCGGGGTCTCCGGCTCTCCCGGTGCCGCTCACCGTCTCGCCTCGTCTCCGCCGCGCCCCACCCCGCGTGCCTGCCCGCCGCTCCGCCCGCCGGCGCGCGTCTCCATGGCGAGCTCCCCGGCGCCCCGAGCGCTCGGGAGACAAAGGAGGCCGGGGGCGGGGGCTGGGGGTGGCCCTCGCCCCCGCCCGCCCCACCCCGCCTCGTCCTCGCCCCCTCTGCGCGCCCAGGGTCCGCCCTGCCCGGCGCACGGCCCGCACCAACCAGGGCGCACAGGGCATGCGGGGGCGGCGGGTAGGGCCCCGGCAACAATGTGCGCACTTAGGCGGTGCTTGCTGTTTGCAGGCATTTCCTCTTACAGTACACAGCCCTGAGGGGTAGGGACCGGCTGACACCATTTCATGGATGGGGAAACTGAGGCCTAGGGAGTCTAAGTCACTGTGCGAGGTCTCTAGGCCCCGAGCGACAGGGTTTGATCCGGTTCATTTATTTACTATCTCCTGAGCACCTAAGGTATACCTGGCCTTGAACAGACGCTGGGAACCCACTGGGCATCGGGACAGACCCTGATAGTCTCACTTCAATGTCTCATTAGAGTTGGGGGATGAGGGATGCATTGATTGAGCGCCTACTGTTTGCAGCCATGGGTGGTTATTCCCGTTCTGCCATTCACCCTACAGACGCCGCTTGACTCGGCTTTCAAAGCACCTCAGCTCCATGTGTTCTCAGAGGAGGTTTCTGTGTGGTTAAGGGTGAGCTCTGAGGGTTGGAGTCCTGTGGGGGCCTCAGGTGTCCCTGCCCCCTGGAAGCACAGCCGGGGTCACCTGCCGTACCTGTGGTAGAACAATGACAGTCACAAGATGGAAACTCAGTGGCCGGTTGCAGGCCCCCCCAGCTTCCTGTGATGGGAGCGGACCAGCTGCCCGGGGAGGGGTCCTCGGCCGGGGTTCCTGCAGTGCGTGCGGGGAGGCCCTGCGGGCAGCACGGGTGGGTCCTCCCCACAGCCCAGGGTGAGGAGCCCATGGGAGGGGGACACTGTCGGGCTGTGGACGGGCCTCTGCTTTCCCGGCTAGCGAGAGGTGGAGCCGGGGCAGCCGTTGGGAATCCTGGTGTTGAAAGGTGACCACAAACAGCCCCTGGGAGGCAGGAGGAGGAGGAGGAAGAAGAAGATGGGTTAACAAACTGCCCCTTGGATGTCTGAGAGAGGGTCTGGGGGAACCTCAGGGTCAGGGGTGGGGAGTCCTTCTTCCCATTGGATCCCTGTGGTGGAGACAGGCACACACATCCCTCTGCTGAGGGGTCTGGGCTGGAGTCTGGGGCACTAGGGAGCCATGGGAGAGTTTAGAGCAGGCCAGAGGGGTTGAGCGTGCCGCTCAGAAACCTTAAATAGTCACCGATTTGATGTCCGGCATGGCTCTATGAGGCCAGACCCATGCATGTCCCCGTTGCACAGACGGGGAAACTGAGGTGCTGAGAGGGGGCCCACCCCGAGACCACCCCTCTGGGAGGAGGTGAAGCTTCCGGCTCTGGAGTCCATTACTCTGGGCAAGACGGCTGGCCAGGAGGAAAGGGGGCCTGGTGCATGGGAGAGGTGCAACGGGCCAGAAGGGGGTGGTCGTCGGGTTAGGGCCTCAGGAGGGAGGATGGACAGGTCTGGAGGACCCAGGGAGGACGGGGGTGGGGGGCAGGCCTGGGCTGGGGCAGAGGCCCCAGGGCCATGTGCTGTGCACTCGCATGTGGCTGCACCACGAGGCTCAGCGGAGACCAGATCAGACCTGAGCCCCAGAACCCCAATATTCCAGATGGGCAGAGGACCCCAAAGTCTACTCTGATCCTGCCTCACTTGAACTCTCCCCAGATCTGCCCCTTGGGACGGGCAAACCGCCCTAGAAGGACCCCTGGTGCTTCAGACACAAACTGGTGTCCCTGAGGCTATGGGGGGACCACCTGGAGCCCCGAATCTCTCAGTGTCATCTTGGCAATGGGCCTCATTTTTAAACATTTTTTTTTTGCCAGAACAGTCAATAAAGAGAAACTCATTTTTAAAAATTGATGTAAAATTTACATAACGTAAAATTAGCCATTTTCTTTATTTATTTTTTTACCTAAAAAACTTGTCGAACATTAAAACTTAGCCATTTTAAAGGGTACGCTTCAATGGCTTTTAGTATATTCACAGTGTAGTCCAACCATCACCACTGTCTAGTTCCAGATAATTCTCATCACCCCAAAGGAAGCCCCGTCCCCGTCAGCAATCACTCCGTACCCCTTTTCCAGCCCCTGGTGACCACGAATCCACGTCCCATCCCTGCGGATCTGCCTGTTCTGGGCATTTCATATGAATGGAGTCTCACGCTCTGTGTCCTTCTGTGTCTGGCGTCTCTCACTGAGCATGATGTCCTCAAGGTCCATCCACGCTGTGGCCTGTGTCAGAGCCTCGTCCCTTCTTGTGGCTGAGTGATGTTCCAGTGGACCACGCCGTGTTTGTCCATTCGTTCGCTTGTGGATGGATGTCCGGGTTGGTTTCACTTTTTGGCTGTTACAGGTAATGCTGCCGCGAACATTCGTGGACAAGTGTTTGTATAAACCCTGGTTCATTTCTCTTGCGCAGACACCTAGGAGTGGGATTGGTGGGTGATGTGACAACTCGGTTTCCCTTTTTGAGGAACGGCTGGGCCGTTTTCCAGAGTGGCTGCACCGTGTTACATTCCCGCCAGCCACGTACAGGGCTCTAACTTCACGCCCCAACCGACACTTTATTTTCCAACTTTGTCATTGTAGCCTGGTGAGTGGGAAGTGGGATCTCACGTGGTTTTGATTTGCTTTTCCCAAGTGACGAATGATTGTGAACATCTTTCCCTGTGCTTCTTGGCCGATTGTGTATTTTCTTTGGAAAAGTGTCAGTTCAAGTCCTTTGCCCATTTTTTAATCGAGTTGTTTGTCTTTTTGTTTTTGGATTATAAGAGTTTTGGTATGTTCTGCTTACTCAACCTGGTTTTTCTTACCTCCGCCTCTTGCCCAGGTCCCAGGTGCCTCAAAGCTCGAAGATCCTGTTTCAAAGACGAGGACAGCCGCTACCCCACCTTACAGGTACGGGAACTGAGGGTGGGCAGTGACCTGCCCAGGTTCCCAGAGAGAGTCCTGTCGGGTGCTCAGTGAGAGAGGCCAGACACAAAACGCCACACACAGCCAGGTGCGGTGGCTCATGCCTGTGATCCCAGCTACGTGGGAGGCTGAGGCGGGAGGATCTCTAGAGCCCAGGAGTTTCAGACCAGCCTGGGCAACATAGTGAGACCCTAAAACAAACAAACAAACAAACTAAAGAAGCAAAAAGACCACATAGTATCTGATTCCATTTATATGAACTGTCCAGAACAGGCAGATCCACAGAGACGGGATATGGATTCATGGGTGCCAGGGGCTGGGGAATTGGGGGTGATAGTTAAATGGTAGGAGGTTTCTTCTAGGCTGATGAAAATGTCCTAAAACTGACTGTGGCGATGGTTGCGCAACTCCGCGAGGATCCTAAGAACCGCTGGACTGTACGCATTGAGTGAGTGGCTCGTGTGGTGTGTGAATCACATCTCAGTCAAACTGCTGGAAGGTAAAAATAGGCATGATGACACGCATGCCCAGGCAGGCAGGTCTCAGCCCGGGGCCTGCCGACTGCAGCTCTCTAAGCTCCGTGGGCGCCAGGCCCAGCGGGCAGCAGTGGCTGAGGTTGGGGAAACTGAGGCTGGAGTTGGCAAGAGAGCAGCACTCACAATTTGAGAACGCTGGCTGGGTGCCCATGGTGGGCTCGCCAGATCTGGCAAGGACTGACACCCATCGCCCTCCCCCACACCTGGAGGGGAAACTGAGGGTCAGAGTGGGCCGTTGGGGGCCCACTCTGGGAGCAGTTGGTGGCAGAAGCCTTGGGCAACTTCCCGTGTTCCTGCTGGGCGGGGCTGGGCCTGGGCAGGCCGGAGTGTTGCCAAGCACCTGGATATAAAGGTGGCCGCTGCCCCAGCCACTGAGCTGACCCACCATGCCCCCTCTCAGACTGCTGGCCCTGCTGGCTGGCCTGCTGGCGTCCTCGAGGGCCGGTGAGCGCCCATGTGTGCCGGGTGTCCTGTGGCTGAAGGCAGGGGCCTGGGTGGGAGGGACTGGCCTGCCCAGCTCCTGTACCCCAGGACTCAAGGCACAGAGACAGAAAGCGACCCGGCCCAGGTCACACAGCCAGCGTGGCCCTGGACAGCCCCTGGTGGGCGTGCAGGACTGGGGGGCGCCACCTGTCCTCTTACATACGGAGCAGGGAGGGGGGTGTGCCCCTGTGGCCCCATTGGGTGGATGTGGGGGCTGAAGCTGGAGCTTCCAACACCTGCCCCCCACACTGTGTGGGGGCTCTCAGGCGTCTTCAGAGCTGCCTCCCCCGCCCCGGCCCAGGCTCGACACCCTTCGTGGGCATCGTGGGCGGCCGGAAGGCGAGGCCCCTCGAGTTCCCGTTCCTGGCCTCGCTTCAGAGCCAGGGGAGGCACTTCTGCGGGGGCGCCCTGATCCACACCGGCTTCGTGCTGACCGCCGCCAGCTGCTTCCGCAACCTGTGAGGGGGTCGGGGGTCGGGGCCCCGGGATGCGGAGGGCGTCCCGAGGGTCCCAGCTCCTCTTCCGTAAAAGGAGGGTAGGTGGGGGGGGAGGGAGGCTGGCGATCACGACCCTCCCCTTAGGCACCAGGCCTGGAATGCCCCTGCTCCCCGGCTGCCCCCAGCCTGGTGTCCCCGCTCTGCCCCCCGCTGCCCTCAGGAACCCCGGCGTGGCCACCGTGGTGCTGGGAGCCTACGACCTGAGGCGGCGGGAGCGACCACGGCAGACCTTTGCCATCAGGAGCATCAGCGAGAACAGATACGACCCCCAGGAGAACCTGAACGACCTGCTGCTGTTGCAGGTCCGCGGGGGGGCGGGGGCGACACCGCAGTCCACCCTCTGGCCCCCGCGGTGGATGCCAAAGTTGTTTTTAAATGTGTCTGTGCATCTCCCTCTGTCACAGACCTTTCTGCACCTGAGGTGTATAAAAAGGCTGGACCCAGTTACCCTCCCCTCCTCCAGCAGAGTCAAAAACTGCTGTTCCCCCATCTTCACTGACGCTCAGTATCATGATTTTTAAATTTTTTTTTTGCCAGTCGCGACGGTGGAACCGGTACCCGGTTGTTTTGTTTGCACTTTCTGGGCAAGTCCTTTTACTGCAGGGTCTTGTTTTATCCTCTTAACACTGGCAGGGTAGGAATTATTTATTATTCTTTTTCTATGGGGGAGGAACGAGAGGCCCAGAGAGGTAAAGCGACTTTGCCAGGGTCCCACAGCAGGTTCCCGCCCCAGCTGGGATTTGAACCACAAACACTTACACACCAGAATTCGTGTTGCTGACTCTCCTGCTCCCAGTGTGGGCCCACGAGGCTCCGGTCCCATTCCACCCTCCCCTGACTCAGTTTCCCTCCCCAGCTGGAAGGTGAGGCCAACCTCACCAGCAATGTGGCGCTGCTGCCGCTGCCCCCGCAGAACGCCGTGGTGGCAGCCGGCACCAGCTGCCAGGTGGCCGGCTGGGGAAACCGCCGGAATGGGGGGCCCCTCTCCCGCTTCCCAAGAGTTGTGAACGTGACGGTGACCCCGGAGGACCAGTGCCGCCCCAACAACCTGTGCACGGGTGTGCTCACCCGCCGGGGCGGCATCTGCCAGGTACCGGCCAGGGTGGGCCTGGCGTCCGTGGGCTTCTCGTGGTGGGAGGAGGGGTGTTGAGAGGTAATGAGCTCCCCATGGTGGGAGAAAGCAAGTGCAGGCCAAGGGAGACACGGCGGGTGTGGGGCTCAGGACGGAACATTTTGACAGCATGAGAAACAATCTTTATTAAACACCTCCTGTGCTGGGAGGAGCAGGGCCTGCACTTCTGCAGTTATCAGACTGCGGGGTCGGGGGCGGGGGGGCGGTCCTCCTGAGCCAGCCTGAGGGTGCCAGGAAGTTCCTGGAGGGAACTGGCCCAAAATTCCGTTAGGAGTTACCCAGGCACAGGGTGGTGACAAAGGCATGTGCAAAGGGCCTGGGGTTGGAACAGGGTTTGTGGGTTCCACGGGGCAGCAAGGAGGATCAGTGGTCCTGGGGTGGGGGAAGCAGGGACGTTGGGCTCCCTGGGGATGCCCTGACACGCCTGCCATCCGGGCAGGGTGATGGGGGCACCCCCCTCGTCTGCAATGGCCTGGCGCACGGTGTAGCCTCCTTCTCCCCGAATCCCTGCGGCAAGGGCCCCGACTTCTTCACCCGCGTGGCGCTCTTCCGAGAGTGGATCGATAGTGTTCTCAACAGCCCTGCTCAGGGGCTGGCCTGAGCCCAGCCCGACCAGCACGCCATGTATGTTCTGTGCCCACATCCTGTGGCCCTTCCTGTGTTCCCCATGCCTCGGGGGGGGCCCCCCCGCACGCTGGGCCTGCGTGGTTATGGCTCTAATAAAGAAGCTGTTCTCACCTTGGCTCCTGAGTTCCGCATCCCTAGGGTGGGTGGGGCCGGGCTGGTGTCAGGGGATGCCCTGTGGGCTCCGGGGAGGGGTTGATGGCTGGCTCCTCCAGGGCATTGGGCGCAGACACTGGCTGAATCCCCCCAGCCCTGAGAAGTAGGGACTGTCGTTATCACCTCTCGACAGAGGCCGAGGCTTAGAGAAGTTGTGTGACTTACCTGAGGTCATACAGCTAATGTGGGCTTTGGACCCAGATCCGTGAGATTCCGGGCCCCCTTAGCCGCCTCTCGTTTTGGTGGAGAATCTATTGCAGCCCTGTGGGCAAAGCCAGAAAACACATGAGAAGCCAGGAAAAAATATTTGCCACTTGGATCTCATTGGCTAATGGACCTAATATAGAGAGAGCTAAAATGTGAATATCAAATAATAAATATAATTGCATATATAAAGACAATAAATGCAATTATTTAATATATCACGTATCATTTTATTAGACTAAATAAAATGTTTTTATTAACATAAAGGTTTTAAATATTATAGAATATACAATAACATAAAAGAACTATAATACATAAAGAGCTCCTAAAAATCAATAAGAAAATAATAGGCCGGGCGCGGTGGCTCACGCCTGTAATCCTAGCTCTCTGGGAGGCCGAGGCCGGGGGATTGTTTGAGCTCGGGAGTTCGAGACCAGTCTGAGTAAGAGCGAGACCCCGTCTCTACTAAAAATAGAAAGAAATTAATTGGACAACTAAAAATATATAGAAAAAATTAGCCGGTCATGGTGGCGCATGCCTGTAGTCCCGGCTACTCAGGAGGTTGAGGCAGGAGGATCGCTTGAGCCCAGGAGTTTGAGGTTGCTGTGAGCTAGGCTGACGCCAGGGCACTCTAGCGCGGGCAAAAGAGTGAGATTCTGTCTCAAAAAAAAAAAAAGAAAGAAAGAAAGTGCATGCATTTTTTACTCTGAGCTGAGCCCTTACCCCTACACCCTGATCACCTCAAACCATCCCAACGGTGAGGGTGCAAGATTAACTCCTGCCATGTGGCCGGGAGAAGAGATACTAGAAACCGTCGGTGTCCAGGAAAGACCGCAAAATCCACAAGGTCCGGTTCACTGCTGGGGGTATCGAGCAGCTGTGTACAAGGTTGGGGTGGCTCCCTGAGCTTGGATCGGGGAGGTCTTCATGGGGCCGTGGAGAAGTGGAGAGAAGCCCAGAACAGAACAGAGAAGAAGAGGGAGACGTTTGCGTTTCCTGCTTGCACAAACCATCCTCAGAAATGTGTTTCCGTGGCATGCAGGGACGGGGCTGTTGGGGCAGGGATGCTGGTCGGCTTTTCTGTCTTTCCAAGGAGACTTTTTACACATACAGTTACGCCCCCGTAACGATGCTTGGTCAAGGACAGATGGCATCTGCACGGTCCCATCAGATTGTAATACCTTATTCTTACTGTGCCGTTTCTCTATGTTCAGATAGGTTTTTTTTGTGTTTTGTTTTGAGACAGGGTCTCCCTCTGTTGCCCAGGCTGGAGTGCAGTGACGTCATCACAGCTCACTGCAGCCTCCCACTCCTGGGCTCAAGCGATCCTCCTGCCTCAGCCTCCCGAGTAGCTGGGACTACAGGTGCCACCATGCCCAGCTAGTTTTTCCTATTTTCACTAGAGACGGGGACTCGCTCTTGCTCAGGCTGGTCTTGAACTCCTGAGCTCAAGCAATCCTCCTACCTCAGCCTCCCAGAGTGCCGGGATTACAGGCGTGAGCCACTGCGTCCGGTCCCTCGTTCCTTTTCGTAGCTGAGTGATATTCCACATGTGGATGGACCACCTTGGGTTTATCCATCCATCTGTTGGTGGACACTTGAGTTTTTCCACTTTTTGGCTGTTGTGAATCTGCGCTGTGAACGTTCGTGTGCAGGTTTTCGTGTGAACGGCTGTTTTCAATTCTTTTGGGTCTATACCCAGCAGTGGAATTTCAGGGTCATAATGGATCGTGTTCTACAGAAGAACCGAGGCCTAGAGAGGAAGGTCACTGGCTCAGGGGCCTGGAGCTCAGAGAGGTCAAGCCACTGCCTGTTCCTTGTTCAGATGGGGAAACTGAGGCCCGACATGGGACTGTGGTCCAGGGCTTGTGGTCCCACCAGCGCAGTCAGGAGGGCCCTCCCACTGGGGTGCAGTCTTAGGCGCCCCCAGCAGGGATCCAGGGATCCACGCTGCCGCGTGAGCATGGCAGGCCCTGCCCTCTCCAGGCCTTGGACTCTGGGGACTAGGATGGGCCCACGGCAGACACCCCCACCCCACCCCCTGCAGTCCCCGCCACTGCATCCTCCCGAGTCCTTCCGCCGGAGTGGGGTGCTCAGGCTAAAACCCGACAGCTCTGTTTGTCTCACCACCCGCGGCGCTCGCTGGTCCCTTGTGAGGCTTTAAGTTTTTCGAATTCCCGGCACAGAGTGTGAAATACCCGGGTGGGCTTGCAAATCGCGGGGCGGGGTGACGGAGCAGGTGCAGGTGGATAGGCCTTGGGGCCACGTCTGGAGACCTCGGGTCAGCACGAAAACACACCCCCTGCAAGGGCTGAGCCGTCCTGGAGGGAACAGACGTCTTCCTGTCTCTCAAGGAAAGAGAGGAAGAAAAGAGACTGAGAGACAGAGACAGAGACAGACAGAGACAGAGAGATAGAGACAGAGAGAGCCAGAGAGACAGAGACATCGCAGGCCGGAGCCCTCCCGCCCTCCCTGCCCAGGTCCCCCCTCTGTCTCCCAGGGGCTCGGGCCACCCCACCCATGACCCCCAGCCCCGTGACCGTTGCCGGTTGCAACACCCACAGTTGGTGCAGGAAGGGGCTGAGGCTGTAGCTTCCGGCCCGACCCCCAGAGGGTTCTGTGGACCCTCCCTTTACAACCCCCCAACCAATCCCTCCCCTCAGGAGGCCCCCCACCGAGGCGCCCAGCCGGGAGCGGGGACAGGTGGCCATCAAGGAAACAGACCCTGAAGGGAAAAAACGTGCAAAGTAGGAGATCTCGGGGCCTCCGAGCAGCTCCCCCAGCAACTTGCGCATCTGCCTGAGCTAGCGGTTGGTGTGCGGCGTTTCCTTCCTTCTCCCTCCCTCCCTCCTCCCTCCCTTCAACAGCTTCATTGAAATATACCTCACATACTGTACAATTCACCCATTTAATAATTCAGTGGCATTTATTTGTTTTATTTATTTTTAGAGACAGGATTTCACTCTGTTGCCCAGGCTGGAGTGCAGTGGCGTCATCATAGCTCACTGCAGCCTCCAACTCCTGGGCTCAAGCGATCCTCCTGCCTCAGCCTCCTGAGTAGCTGGGACTACAGGTGCCACCACGCCTGGCTAATTTTTCTATTTTTTGTATAGATGGGGTCTCACTACGTTGCTCAGGCTGGTCTCGAACTCCTGGGCTCAAGCCATCCTCCCGCCTCAGTCTTGCAAAGTGGCATTTGATACATTAACAGAGTTGTGCAACCATCACCACTAGCCAATTCCAGAACATTCCATCATTCCAAAAGGAAGCCCTGTCTCCATCAGCAGTCACTCCCCATCCCCTCCCCAGCCCCGGGCAACCACGAATCCCCATCCCGTCTCTGGATCTGCTTGTTCTGGACGTTTCCTATAAATGGAGTCTCACACTGTGTGTCCTTCTGTGTCTCTCACTGAGCACGACGTCCTCAAGGTCCATCCGCGCTGTGGCCTGTGTCAGAGCCTCGTCCCTTTCCATGGCCGAGTGATGTTCCACGTGTGGACGGACCATGCTGTGTGTGTCCGCTCACCTGTCGGTGGACACAGGGTTATCACGCTCGCATTTGCGTCGGGTGGTTTGACCTCTGTGAGGTGGGGCTGTTCTCACCATCCCCACGTGACAGGTGGGGAAACTGAGCTCAGAGAGGTGGAGCTTCCAGCCTAGAACCGCAAAGCACAGCAGGATTCAGGCCCAGGCTGTGGCGCTGGAGCCCCGGGTGCAGCCGCCCGCGTCCCCTGCAGGGGAAGCCTGGAAGTGAGGCGGCTCCGCGTGCTCAGCTGTCACGGGAGAAGGGGGTGCCCGTCGTGACAGTAGCACCAGCGGCAGCGATGGCAATACCTGGAGGGCTGGACTCGCCCCCACCGAGACCCTGGCACGTCCCCAAAATCTAATCCCTGGAACCTCCCCTTGTTGCTGTGAGGGAGGCTCTGGCACCATCATCACCTGCCTTTACAGGTGGGGAAACTGAGGCGCAGGAGGCCAAACATCTGGTCCCAGCTCGAGCTGACTGACAGGGGAGACGGCTGGGACGTTTCTGTTGAAATAAGAATAAGCAGTCGATGGCCGGGCGCGGTGGCTCACGCGCGTGATCCCAGCGCTCTGGGAGGCCGAGGCGGGAGGATCCCTTGAGCCCAGGAGCTCGAGACCAGACAAAGGGCAGCTGGTGAGATTCAAAGGGCCTGTGCATGAGGCAACCGCTGTGAGCCGTCTGCTCCCCGGCTCCAATCACGGCCCCTCGGTTGTGTAAGACGACGACATTCGGGGAAGCCGGGGACGCGAATCCGGGAACCCTTTGGACCATTGTTAGCGTGGAAAAGTCTCAGAATGAAATGTCAGGAAACTTTATTTTTTGGTCCCCGAATTCGGTGAGCTCTTCCCCCCGCTCTGTTTCTGTAGGTTTAAGCTTTTCATAATGACAAGTCAGTTATGAATAAATGAATATCTCCTCTGCGCCTGGGTTTGTCCCCCAGGCACTGCGGACACTGGGGCTGGGCTGTCCTCCGGAGTGGGGCCGTCGTGGCCGCTGCAGGTGCTGAGCAGCGTCCCTGCCCCCACCCCCCCACGCCAGGAGCTCCCCCAGTGTGACAACCACAAGTGTCCCCAGATATGGCCCAGTGTCCCCTGAGGTTGCAGGGTCACCACTGTAGTCAGAACCACTGCCTTGTAGGAAAAATGAATCCTCAAGACAAAAGCTGGGGAGAAAGGTGCTTCTGTGGGGTCCCAGGTGGGGAACTGCGGGGACACACGTGGCTCTGGTCCCCCACCTTCTCCTGGTTCCCCGGCCCTGTCCGCAGCTGAGTCAGCGTCCTAGTGGTTTCCAGCTCAGCCTGTCCTGATGGGGATGTTCGATGCTTCCTTTTGTCCGTCTGCAGCACGGGTCACCCTGTCAGCTGTTCTTAAAAGCCTGGCCCGGGGCTCCGGCCAAGCACTGGTCATCCTGGGACACCCAGTTTGCAGATGAGGATTCAGAGGCGCAGGCACCACGTCCCACTTTGTGGGGCCACAGGGACTTCCTGGGTGCAGGCGTCTCTTTGGGGGAGGCAGGGGGGCATGCGTCACGCTAGGGCCATGGCCACGCTGCCCACTTGTCCGGGAAACCCCGGCCTGGCTTGGGCTGCAGCCAGCGTCCCCTGCCCCCTAAGCCCAAAGCCCCTGCACGTTCCCCAGAGTCTGGATGTGACCCCTAAACTCCCTGTGGCCCCCAAGGTCGGAGGAGGAAGTGGGGCACCGGCCCAGCCATGGGGCAACCGCAACGGCCTCCCGCATCGGGGCTACATAAGAGGCGAGGGCGGCAGGGGGCCTGAACCCAGAAGATGGCCTGCAGCCCTGCCCTCGCCTCTGTCCTGCTGACTCTGCTGCTGGGCGGTGAGTGGGGCCAGCGTTCCCTCCGCCCACCCCAGTGGGTCCGGCGGATTCTGGGGGCATGTCCACCCACCAGGTCCAGTCCAGTGCCCTCCTGGCACAGCTGGGGAGACTGAGGCAGGACTGGGGCAGGACAGCATGCCTCAAGGGGAGGAGAAGATGAGAGAAGGGGGAGGCCTGGGTAGTTGGACTCAGTTTCCCATTTGTAAAATGCACAAACCCAGCCCTTCCCTCCCAGGGATGCTGAGGGGATTGCTATAGCAAGCGCTCAGAGGGGTCGCTCCCATGCGTGCGTGAGTGAGCTTGTTGGGGTGGCAAGCTGGCACGTGAGACCAGCCTGGGCAACATAGCAAGACCCCATCTCCACATAAAAAAAAAAAATTAGCAGGGTATGGTGGTAGCACCTGTAGTCCCAGCTACTCAGGAGGCTGAGGCGGGAGGATCGCTGGAGCCCAGGAGTTGGAGGCTGCAGAGAGCTGCGATGATGCCACTGCACTCCAGCCTGGGCGACAGAGAGAGACCCTGTCTCAAAAAAAAAGGAGCCTCTCCCCTGGCCATCATGGGACGCCCGTCTTGCAGACGGATTCGGAGCTCAGAGAGGTCCACGGCCGGCGCTGCCTGGGCCCTGACCCTGCCGCCCCGCAGGTGCAGCCGAGGCCGCGGAGATCGTGGGCGGGCGGGAGGCGCAGCCCCACTCGCGGCCCTACATGGCGTCCCTGCAGGTGCGCGGCACCCGGGGCAGCCACTTCTGCGGCGGCACCTTGATCCACCCGAGCTTCGTGCTGACCGCCGCGCACTGCCTGGAGGACATGTGAGCGCGCGTGCGCGGAGGGCCGGCTGCGCGGGGTGTGGGGGGGTCTCGTCGCCCCTCCCTCCAAACTGGACCTGGGGCAATGCGGGACCGGGTTGTGCGGGGGCCAGAGGGGCGTCCCCTGGGGCGCAGTCTCCAAGGTGGGGCCTGTGGTGGGGCTGGGGCGACAGGGGACACCCACCGAAGAAGGAGCACTCCACCCCGCAGCCCCGCCCACGTGGTGAATGTGGTGCTCGGAGCGCACAACCTGCAGACACCTGAGTCCACGCAGCAGCAGCTCAGGGTCGCTGAGGTGTTCCGGCACAACTACGACGCGGAGAACCATGTGAACGACATTCTTCTCATCCGGGTGGGTGCTGGGGGCCCCGGGGGTCGGAGGGGAGAGCCAGCCGGGGTCCTGGGACCCCCCCACACCTCTTCCGTCCTTTAGCAAACATGTATCGAGCACCTACTGTATACACAGCCTGGTCCCTGTTTTGTTAGAGACAGGGTCCCACTCTGTCACCCAGGCTGGAGTGCAGTGGCGTCATCACAGCTCACGGCAGCCTCCGACTCCTGGGCTTCAGGGATCCTCCTGCCTCAGCCTCTGGAGTAGCTGGGACTATAGGGGTGCGCCACAACACCCTGCTAGTTTTTCTTATTTTTTTGTAGAGATGGGGTCTTGCTATGTTGTCCAGGTTGGTCTCAAATTCCGGGGCCCAAGTGATCCTTCCACCTCAGCCTCGGGAGGTGCTGGGAGTGAGATGGCTCTGTGCCCCTGCTGTGCCCCACCCCCCACCGGCCCCGTGCAGGGTCCCTCAGATGCCCTCATTTCCTCCAGCCTCCCCTCCACCTCCCTGAAACGACCACCTCCCTCCATGGTTCACTGTTCTCTGCCATCCTGCTGACTTGCACTCGGCCGTCTTATTTATGGGGTCTTCCCAGCCCCCTCCCTCCCTAAAAGACCAGCTCCCCCAGACGCAGAGGATTTTGTCTGTGCTGTTCACTGCTGGCCCCTGGGTCTTAGAACAGGACTGGGCATACAGTTGGTGCTTGATAAGCGTTTTGTACGTGAATGAATGCAATAGTGATGCATGCATCCAGGAGCGCCCAGGCAGAGGGAAGAGCACCTTGGGGGCCAGCGGAGGCATTTCGAAGCAGTGGGCGGTGCGGTAGGAGGGACAGTCGGGCGGGGGGCGCAGGGTCTCACGCCCGCCGCGCTCCGCCGCAGCTCGACCGCCCGGCCACCCTCAGCGCTGAGGTCGCCACAACCCAGTTGCCCCAGCAGGGCCAGAAGCTGCCCCAAGGCACCCAGTGCCTGGCCATGGGCTGGGGCCGCCTGGGCACCAGCGCCCCTACGCCCAGCGCCCTGCAGGAGCTTAATGTCACCGTGGTCACCTTCCTGTGCCGGCCGGAAAACGTGTGCACGCTCGTCCCCCGACGCAGCGCCGGCATCTGCTTTGTGCGTACCCACCCCCCCCCCCGGCTCCGCAGGGGCTGCCCTGGGACTGGGGGCCCCTGGGGACCGTCCCATCCTGGGGAGGGCGGGCTGGGGCTTGAACCCCGCTTCCTGGCCGCGCAGCTGCACTCTGTGCCTCAGTCTCCCCACCAGGAAGGCGGACACACCCGTCACGAGGACGCAGCGGGCGGTGGGCGCCCACGTTGCACTCGGCTGCCTCTGTGGGTCCGGGAACTCCCTGCCCCGGGCCCCTCTCGGACCTTGGAAGATGCAGGCGCCCCGTCTGCCCTCGTCTGGGGTCCAGGCATCCAGCAGGAGGCCCTACAGTGGCCTCAGCCCCTCCCCCATTCACACATCTTCAAGAAAATTCCAGACCGGAAGCATTTACCCATGGACAGTTTGGGGCCGCCCCCCACCCCCTGTGGCCGGCCTGGGTGGCTGACTGTGCCCCCACCCCCCCAGGGAGACTCCGGTGGCCCCTTGATCTGCAACGACACCCTCCAGGGCGTGGACTCCTTCGTGATCCGGGGCTGTGCCAGCCGCCAGTTCCCCGACTTCTTCGCGCCTGTGGCGCTCTACGTGAACTGGATCCACTCCGTGCTGCGTGGGGCGGGGGGCGCGGGCAGCCGCTCCCGGGCACTGAGCCCAGGCCACGACAGGCCCTGAAGGAGGAACTTCAGGCAGAGGCAGATCGTCACACCTCGCCCCGTGGAGGCGTCAATAAAAGTTGAAACTCCCTCCGGCTCCTTCCGTCCTTCCCAGGTGGGGAGGGATGGGGAGAGCTGCCCAGTGGCCCCCCGTGTCCGAGGCCCGGAGCCCCAAACTCTGGGTGGGGATGGGTCTCCCCACTGGGTGCCCACAAAGGTGCTTCTACCCAGCTCCACTAGTGTGGCCCCTGGGCAAGTTGCTACTCATCTCTGTGCCTGTTTCCTCATCTGGAAATGCAGTCGGTCCAGACATTCCCTAGCACTGTCCGGGGGCTCCACCCTGACCCTCGGGGCTCCGGCTCTGTCTCTCCCCGCCCGGAGGGCTCCTTGAGGACCAGGCTGTTGTAACACCGGGTGGGCAGCACAGAGCTGGGGAAGCACCTGGGGCCTGTGGGGCTCCTGGTCCAGCCAGGGGCAGGTGGGAGGGCTGCCAGGGGGCTTCCTGGAGGAGGTGGCGATTCCTGAGCTGAATATCAAAGTGTGAATCAAGACTGCCAGGCAGGGCCACTGCGAAGGCAATAGCCTGAGTCGGAGCCAGCTTGGGGTGTGAGGAGCAGCAGGACAGGCAGCGAGGGTGGCTGGAGCAAGGGGGTGGGGAGGAAAGGCGGTGGAGGCGGGGGACACCGGAGCATGCAGGGCCACTGGGGCCACCTTGATGAGATGAGCAATGAGCATGGGCTCTGTTTCTCAGGGGAAGCGTAGGCAGTGAAGTCCCCCCTCGTGGCAGCCTGAGAAATGAACCCGGGTGGACCCAGAAGGGAGGTCTGACGAAAGAGGCAGGGGTCACAGGCCAGCCGTGGAGAAGGGGGAGTGACCACAAGAACGGGGCGCCAACTTGCTCCAGGACTCACCAGGAGTTGGAAGGCAGCTCCTTTCTTATTGATTTACTCTGCCGCCACCTGGTGGCAGCGTACCAATGCGAGCAGGCAGAACACACAGGCTTGTCCCCCTTTCACTTCTTTCAAACCTCAACCGACCCCCCAGCAGAGGTGTCTTACCTACAGCAGCAGCGAAAGGAGCAGACCTGTGCAGAGGTGTGGCTGAATCTCAGGAAATGTCTGCTGCTCAGTGTCTGGAGATGACAGGAATGCCGTAGCGGTTTCTGTAAAAGACCCAGAGGGACCTTTTGGTGCCCGCCATGGGGGGTAAATAAGATTTGTTGGGGGGATGTTGGAGTGAGCCCACTGATTGGAACAGGAAGACCCACAGCAAACCCAGTTTTCTATGGGCAGGAGCCCATGAGCGTGTAAAAGGTCATTTGGAGGAAAGTTCTGGAAGGAAGTGACCTGGGAGAGAGAGTCAAGTTTATTTTCTTAGCGTGACGTAACTTAGAACAAGTAGAGTGCACGCCTCTGAATTATAAGCTCGGTGACTCTATTTTTTAAATCGACACACGAGGAAGAGCGTGGCATTTCGATACACGTCTACAGTGCGTAACGATCCAGTCAGGGTAGTTGGCACGTCCGTCACCCCAAACATTTATCATTCCTGATATTCAAAGCTCAGTGACTCTTTGCATATGGATGGCTCCCCACTCCAATCTTAGAACCTCCCCAGCCTCGCAGAAGCCCCCGTGCACCCCTTGCAGCCTATGCCGCCCCCGTGGCTAACACATCCTGCCTTCCTTGAGATACGGGTTAGCGGTTCGCAAACCCTCAAGGACAGCATTGTCCCATCCAAGAACTTTACAAATGGTAACGCGCGTAATCTTTGAGACAATTCAAGGACACGGAGCCTATTATCCTATCTTCCATTTTATGGAGAAGGAAACTGAGTCACAGAGAGGTTCATTTAGGGACCTCAAGTTAGACAGTGGTCGAGTGGCCACACCAGAACGAGAATATGAACCCGGAGTCAACACGGTATGTGTGAACAGAGCATGCAGGTGGTGCTCAGTAAGCGCAGCTGCAGTTTAGTTTAGTCTCCCTGCCAGAGGCCAAACCCCCACAGAAACATGATCTCCTCCACTCTGCCCCTCCCCCTGGACGTGAAACAGGGCTGTGTATACAGCAGGCGCCAACTAAATGCTCTGTGGTGATTTTTAAGGCAGCGGGGTGGGGACCCCGCTGGAAAGGGAAGGCAGCGAGACCAGTTAGTGTGTGTCTGCCAAGCTAGGGACGAAGGGCAGACACAGATTGAGCGCCTGCTGGGTGCCAGACTCTGGGAGAGCAGGGCAATTGTCCCCACTGGAGAGAGTTGGGGATTTGCCTGCCTATGGTCACACATCGGCACCCCCAAGGACAATGTGGACTCCAGCCCTGGCCCAGGCTCCAGGTGTCCCCCGGGAGCCCCCACCCTGCTGCTCCTGGAGCCTGGTCCGTTGGGTGCCTCCCCCTCGCCTCCTCGCGGGGCCTGGAAGACGTTGCTTCTTGCGACAGCCTCAGCCAGGCGGTTGCAGCTCCAGTGTCCTGGGGGACTCAGGAAGGGGAACCAAGGAGTCGGGCCATGGAGGTGGGGGGCTGGGCCCCGGGAAACCCATCCCCATCGTCGGGTCTCCAGGTCTCCACTAGTCCCCCAGGAAGAAGCTCTCGGGCTCAGGTGGAGATGCAGGCTCCACCTCCTGGCCTGGCAGGGCCCCTTCTCCAGCACCCCGCCACAGCCACCGGCCAGGACCTGCCTCAGGTGGGCAGGGGTTGGCCAGGCTCAGTGAGGCCAGGGCTGGGAGGGCGTCTTTCTCAGAACCTCAGCTGGTATCTGGAGACCAACTGTGGCCCTGAGTGGGAGTGAGCTCCCCATCGTGAGCAGCAACCAGAGGGAGGTGGACAGCAAGGCTGGAGCCAGAGGCAGCTGCGAATCCCAGGGACCTGGGTTAAAATCGCAGCTCATGGGGAAGGCTCTTGGTGTGCCTCAGTTTCCTCATCCCGAATGGGGAGCCGGCAGTCCTCTGGCGCGGCACCCCTCTGACGCGTCGGGGCAGTGCTGGGTGCACTGTGAACGCTTGATACAGTTGTGTGTTGCCATTATCGTAGTGCCCTGGGTAAACTGAGGCACGTGGGGCCTGGGGGGACCCGGTCAAAGTCCCTCAGGTCTAGGTTTGCCAGGTTTAGGAAAATATGGGCCGCCCAGTTTAACCTGCGTGTTAGACAAATAATGACTAGTTTCGTACGTGAGTTTATCCCGTGCAATGTTTGGGACATACGCTAAAAATACGCTGTTTCTCTGATGTTCACATTTAATTGCGTGTCCTGACTCGTGTCTGGTGGCCCCGCTGGAGCCACCCCCAGCCTCGTCACAGCCCTCCCCCTCTCAGCACCCCCTGTGCCCTGGGGAGGAAGTGGGGGCGCCGGCTGGCCGTGGGGCAACTGCAACGGCCTCCCTGCACCGGGCTATAAGAGGGGCCGGGTGGGCCCGGCAGGGCAGAGACCCTGGAGCCCGGCCCACCATGACCCTCAGCTGCTGCCGACCCACCAGCCTTGCCATGGTCACCTCTGTCCTGCTGGCCTTGCTGCTGGGCGGTGAGTGGGGCCACAGGTCCCTTCTCCCGCTTGTCCATCTGTCCCCGGGTGTCTGTTCCCACCTCCCCATTGTGTGCTCCGCCAGGGCGGCCCCTCATCCTATGGGGAGGCCAGAGCTGGGACAAGGAGACCAGAAGAGGAGACTGAGGTTCCGAGTGAGGAAGCCACCACCAGGAGCTCAGAGCCAGGGCTTATAAACCTGGGGACAGTGGCCACCCTGTGGGGGCTCAGCAGCCTGGTTCAAGCCCAGATAGGACTGTGCCCTGGCCGGGGGGCCATGCGCAGGCCCCTTCGCTTCTCTGTGCCTCAGTTTCCTTATCTGGGCAACAGGGGCGTGAGGCCCTGGCCCCCGCATGCACTCCCGGTGGGGATTCAGTGGGCTTCCCGCAGGCGCTCACCGCCCCCCACCCCTGCGTGTCCCCAGGCCCCGCCCTGGCCTCCGAGATCGTGGGGGGCCGGCCAGCCAGGCCCCACGCGTGGCCGTTCATGGTGTCCCTGCAGCAGCGCGGAGGCCACTTCTGCGGCGCCACCCTGATCGCCCCCAACTTTGTCATGTCTGCTGCGCACTGCGTGAACGGCATGTGAGTGGCGGCGCGCGCATGTCCTTCTCCCACCCTCGGTTTCCGCGACAGTGAGGCGCGGCGGGTGGGGTGGGGGAGACTCCTCCTGGAGCCCGGGCCCCCAGGGCCCCCGGGTCACCTCCTTCCCACCGCTCCTCGCCCGCAGGAACTTCCGGTTGGTGCAGGTGGTGTTGGGCGCACACGACCTGCGGCAACGGGAGGCCACCCGGCAGGTGTTCCGCGTCCGGAGGGTCTTTGAAAACGGCTTCGATCCCGTAAACTTGCGCAATGACATCGTGATCCTCCAGGTGCCAGCGGGCGGGCAGGGCAGGGCAGGGATGCGGCGCAGGTGCAGGTGTAAGATGGGGACAAGCCCCCAGAGGGCTGCGGAGAGACAGAGTGAGGCAGCCGGGGAAGCTGGGAGCAGTTGTCAATCAACAAACCGTGGCTGGCATTATCTGTGGCCCTCGGGTCAGGGCCCTGTGGCCCAGGACAGGGACAGCCCCCGGTCTCTGGGAAGTGGCGGGAGACTCGAGAGAGAAACGGCTCCAGTCCCACCCTCCCCACTTGCCAAGTCACAGGTCTCCACCGGAAAGGTTTAAAAGGAGAGTTTGATCATCATTCGTGTTGCCCATAGCGTGTCTTATTAAGCACCTGCTGTTTATTGCACTCAAGCCACATCCAGGGACAGCCCCCAGCAATGCCCTGAGCCGCTGTGGGCATTCCCCACTTTACCAGTGGGGAAACTGAGGCTCAGGGTGTAGGGGGAGCAGTCTGCAGGGCGGGCTTCTTTTTCCAGAAGATCCCAGAACCATGGTGGAGGCTGAGACGGGGAAACTGAGGCTCAGAGAGGGAAGGGCCATCACCCACTGCCCCGCGTGACACTCTAGTGCTCTGGCCCACTTGTCACAGCTCAACGGGTCAGCCAGCATCAACGCCAACGTGCAGGTGGCCAGGCTGCCGGCCCAGGACCGTGGCGTGGGCAACGGGACACGGTGCCTGGCCATGGGCTGGGGCCAGCTGGGCACGCACCGGCCACTGCCCAGCATCCTGCAGGAGCTCAACGTGACGGTGGTGACCTCCCGCTGCAACAACCGCGCCAATGTGTGCACGCTCGTGAGGCGCCGGCAGGCCGGCATCTGCTTTGTACGTACCCTGCGCTTCCCCGAGCTCCCCACCTCGCCCCCCGCCCGGGCTACAGCAACAGGGCCTGCGGCCGGACCCCAGGAAGGACTTCCCAACCCTGAAGGGCGGTGGGTGGGCAGGAGGCCTTGCAGTCCCGCCTCCTAACCCTGTCTGCCTCTGCAGGGAGACTCCGGCGGACCCCTGGTCTGCAACGGGTTGGTGCAGGGAATCGACTCCTACATCCGGGGAGGCTGTGGCTCTGGGTTCTACCCAGACGCCTTTGCTCCAGTGGCACAGTTCATAAACTGGATCAACTCCATCATCCGCCCCGCCGGGGGCCACCCCTTTCCCCACCCCAGGGACCCTGCTAGCAGGACCCACTAAGAAGGGCTGCCTTGGTCGCCAGCAGCCTGGCACAATAAAAATGTTTTGTAGGATGTGTCTGGTGTTCATTGTCTGTGCACTCGAGTGTTAAAGTGTCAGTAGGATGTCTTGGGCATCTCTCGAGTACGCTGCCACCAGGTGGCAGCAAGTCAGGTCATTGGGACAAGAAGTGTGTTCCTTCTCCACATTCTACAAAAGGACACCAGAAGCCACATCTGGTTTCCGTCCTATAAAGCCCACTTTCAGGTAATTAAATCCACGTGGCAGGCGTGAGAACATGAAGCTATGTAGCAGGTGTGTGCAAGCGTCCCACCCTCTCTTCAACCCTCGGGGCAGGTCCCGTCAGTGTCCCCATTTCATAGATAGGGACGCAGAGGTGCAGAGAGGTGTAAAGCCATGGCCAGGAGCCAGGTTTGAGGTTTCCCAGGCTTGAGTTCGAGCCGCGGCTCTGGGACTCTGGGGAGTCTGTTGTCTCTCTGAGCCTGTTTTCTTGTGAGGAGGACCAGATGCCACCAGGGCAGGCGTCAGGTCCTGGGGGACATAGATGAGCCCTTCTTCTACCTCCCCAGCCCCTTTCCTCGGGGGCCACAGTGGAGACGGGGGCAGACGTGGCCCAGGCTCACAGTGAGCAGGCAAAGAAATGTCCCCTCAGTCCCCACAAGTTCAGAAAAGACTTCCCTCTCTGCTCCCTGGCCCCAAAGCCTGTCCCACTGGAACTCGACGACCCAGATCCCACCCGGGGGCCTTTGCCTATGCCGTTCCCTGTGCCTGGCCTGCCCTTCCTGTAGGCTTAGCCCTCTTCATCACATCCCCCTGCAAGTGCCAGCTGCTCAGAGGTGACCCTCTACCCGGGCTGCCTTTTCCACTTAGTAACACGCCCCCAGGGCTTTCCACGTCAACACGGCATCTGGGGAAGTTTGGGGTTATTTATCGGACTGTCCCCTCTTGCTGGGCTCCTGGGTCGTTTCCACGTTTTGTTGCAATTTCGAACATTCCTAGTTGAATAATCTGGCCTCCAAAACCCAATGGGCTTTTGTTCAGAGTTTCTGGTTTTAATAAGGAAACATGAGGATCTTATAAATCGCATTTGTTATGCTATTTCTGTTCTTCTCTGTAGGTATGAAATAGTCCATGGTGAAGAGAAAAGAAGCAGAAGGCGGTCACTGTGCACTGTCCCTGCTGGGGACGTCCGAGGTCCTCCGCACGTGACACTCCATCCTTCTGGTCCCAGCACCTCCATCCCACGGGTTCACGAGATGTGGACCCACCATCCTCACCTCACGGAGGGCCATGTGACCCAGGTTCTGTGAGTCAGAACCTGCCCACAGTGATTGGTTTGGGAGGGAGCATGTGATCCAAGTTGGCCAATCAGAGGCAAGCCCGAGACTTTGGCTGGAGTGATGGGGAATTTTAGGAGGGGCCCACCGAGCCACCAGGGTGAGTCTGGGGTCCCTGGGGCCACAATGGGGGAGGCTGGTGAGGATAGAAGCCATCGAGGAGGAAAAGAGAAACCAGAGGCAGATACCTGATATTGTCCAGGCGCCTGGATCAAGCTGCACCTGAAGGCAGTGCCCTGAACTTTCCATATACTTTTCCTTACTGATGGCTCCACCCAGTTTGACTTAGTTTTTCTGTCACTTGTATCCAACTGCCTTTCCAGCTGCCCCTACACAACACCCTTCCAACATTCTGCTTGTTGGGGTGTCAGGCCCCAGAGGCTGCAGGGACAGATAAGGGTGTCAGGTAACCTTTCTCCCACCCCCACACGACCTTCTCTCCTAGTTGGAGGAGGAAGAATAGATGGGAGGCGTAGAAAGATGAGGAAGCGGTTGTTTACACACTGTGGCCTCCAGCTGCTATTGTGAAACTTCAGGCTGGAAGGACATTCTGGGCGGGGGAAAGAGACTGGGATGGGGGTTGGGGGGGTCCAACCTGAGGGGCTGCCCCCCACCAGGGTCAGCCTGGGGCCAGATCCACAGAGGCAGGAGGGACCCCCGTGGCCTGTCTACTGGTGCAAGTCTAGCAGGAGATAACCCGCCCCTGGGGAGGGTGGAAGCTGGGCCATAGCTGCCCTTTCCCCAGCTGGGCCACTGCCCACCCGGCAGATAGGGCCCATGGGAGCCACCCGCCCCCTCCATTCTCATAAAAACACCCCCGGGGCCCTGCCTGGGTCAGTGTCAAGGCCACAGAGGCTTCACGATGCACAGCTCAGTGCTCCTGGCGGCTCTGGTCCTTCTAGGGGCGGCCCTGTGTGGTGAGTGGGGCTGGGGCTGGGGCAGCTGCCTGTAGGGGAGTCAGCCAGGTGCACCCCTGGTCAGATAGGACCGTCCTCCAGCCCTCCAGGTGGGCAGAAAGCGGGGGATAGGGGTAGAGTCTTCACCAGTGGAAAGCTCTCAAAGTCCAGGAATTCTCGAAAATTTGGATCTGAAATCTGAGCTTTCTCCACCGTGAGATTCTGAAATTCTGCAGTCAAAGCCCAGCCAGCCGCAGGGTCAGCGAGGCTGGCCTGAGCATGTGGTTTGGGCAGCCCCATTTTCCCTGTGTTTAATTGAAGTGTGGGCCCCGGGTGTAGGGCTGGAATCTGCCCCCAGTGCCCCCTCCCTGTGGGTTCTCTTCCCCCCTGGCAGTGGGGGAGGTGTCTGCCTTTGGGACTCTGGCGGGGATGCAGACAGACATAGAATGTGGGGTCGGAGAGGGGCTGGGGTGGCCTGGAGGGTGGAGGGGGCCTCGAAGGGCCTGGCTGGTCCACCCCTCGGTCCTCACGCTCTCCTGTCCCCCTATAGTGGCGCAGCCCCGCGGTCGGATCCTGGGGGGCCGAGAGGCCGAGGCCCACGCGCGGCCCTACATGGCATCGGTGCAGGTGAATGGCCAGCACCGGTGCGGCGGCGTCCTGGTGGCCGAGCAGTGGGTGCTGAGCGCTGCACACTGCCTGGAGGACACGTGAGTGCCCGCGGCAGGCAGCACACTGCGGGGGAGGGAGGCGGGGAATCGGCTCCCACCTACCGTGGACCCTGCCCGGTCCCCAGGGCCGACGGGAACGTGCAGGTGCTCCTGGGCGCTCACTCCCTGTCGCAGCCTGAGACCTCCAAGCGCCTGTACGACGTGCGCCGCGCAGTGCCCCACCCGGACAGCCGGCCGGACACCATCGACCACGACCTCCTCCTGCTGCAGGTTGGCTCAGTGCAGCCACAGTTCCTGCTGCACTGGGGACCCCCGCATGTACCCCCCCACCCCGAGTCTAGCCGCAGTCTCTCCTGCTGCACTGGGGAACCTCGTGCCCACCCCGATGCCCACCTCCCAGACACCCCAATCCACCAAGCCTAGAGGCAGTCTCTTCTGCTTGGCGCCCCATGCACCCCAACTCTGACGTCCGCCTCCGTCCATCTTCCAGTTGTCTGAGAAGGCCGTGCTGGGGCCCGCCGTGCGCCCCCTGCCCTGGCAGCGCGTGGACCGCGACGTGGCACCGGGCACTCTCTGCGACGTGGCCGGCTGGGGCGTGGTCAGCCACGCGGGCCGCCGGCCAGACCGCCTGCAGCATGTGCTCTTGCCAGTGCTCGACCGCGCCACCTGCAACCTGCGCACCCACCACGACGGCACCATCACCGAGCGCATGATGTGCGCGGAGAGCAACCGCCGTGACAGCTGCAAGGTGCGCGGGGGCGGGGCCCGGAGAAGGGGCGGGGCGCGTGAAGGGGAGGATCCTAGTGGGGCGGGGTCTGTGAAAGGGGTGGGGCTAATAGGGGTTGTGGGCGGGGCTGGGAGGAGAGGCGGGTCCTGGGCAGGGGAGAGGCCTGGGGCGGGGTGAGGCTTGCAGAGTGGTCAGGCCGAGATTGGGACAAGCTCGGGGGAGGGGCTGAGATGAGGGGTGGTCGCTGAGACGGGTCGGGGCAGTTAGGAGAGGTGGGATCTGGGCCTCCTGGAGAGGGCAGGGATGAGGAGTGGGGCCTAAGATTGAAGGGGGCCTCGAGTGGGGTGGGGTCGGGGGCAGACATGGTGAGACTGGGAGCAGGTCAGCCCTAGGGGGCGGGGCCAACAGCTGGGGGCGGGCTTAGAGGGAGGGGCGGGGCCTTGGTGAGTGGGGCCTGTAGTGACGGGCGTGGCCCGGAGAAATCGATCATCTAGGAACCCGATTGGGGCTAGAGGAAAGAGCGGGAATTGCCGGCTGGAGCTGGAGCTTGAGCTGGACCCACCCTCCCGGCCTGCCCCGCAGGGTGACTCCGGGGGCCCGCTGGTGTGCCAGGGCGTGCTCGAGGGTGTGGTCACCTCGGGCTCGCGAGTCTGCGGCAACCGCAGGAAGCCCGGGATCTACACACGCGTGGCGAGCTACACGGCCTGGATCGACGGTGTCCTGGCCCAGGGCGCAGCGGCCTGAGGAGGAGGTCCAGAGGGTCCGCAGTCACCTTGGGCGGGGCCCGAGCAATAAAATCCTTCACTCCTGCATCCGGTCGGTTTTTATTGAGCACGTACTGCGTGCAGGACCGCGAGGGAGGTGAACCTGGCTGGGGGGAGGCGGGAAGTCAGGAACAAAAGCGCAGGAACTGGTGACATAGTGCTGGCAGGTGAGCTGCCAGGGCGCATCTGGCCAAGGGACCTGGGGGCAGAAGCTAGGGGTGGGAAGGGGCGGAGCGGCCGGTGTCAATTCCAAGGTCAGCCACACGGGGGCGCACTTACTCTTCCTTGGAAGTCGGAGAAGGGGCCGTGGGGGTGTCCCCGTTAATGTTCAGCCTTCCCTTTGCTTCCCAAGTGGAACGTGACGGCCCACTGGATGCAAAACTCCGTTCTAAGCTAAGATTTAGGTGCACAGAGACCCTGTGAAGTTGTATTCTTATGACCTGGGTCCCAGACGGAGAAACAGAGGCTTGCAGGGGCTGTGTGATTCTCCTGGGATCCCGAAAAAGCTCTGGGACACAGCCTGGACCCCGAGCCAGAGCAGCGGTGGCTGCGTTCAGAAACCACCCCCAGGTGCTGCCAGGTTCACTCGATGAGGAAGGTTGGTGGCTGCCCAGAGCAGCTGCCCCTGCTGAGGGGCCCAGGTGACTCACTGCCCTTTTTGGGCACCAACAGGGAGGTGACAGGGGCAGAACCCAGACCCCGAGGCCCTGTGCCTGTGCCCTTTCTCCTACCTGGAGGAAGGGCCGTGGGGCCCAGCACCAATGGGTTCATGGCCTCCCTTTTGTTAAAAAAGAGACTGAGGGTCTGAGAGGTGAAATGGGGAGATGGAATTAGAACCTGTGCCTGGGTTTCCTTTTCTTACTATGGAGTGTTCACCTTGGAATCACGTTGACACACAAGCATTTGTTGCAGCCTGGACCCCGCGCGGCTCACAGGAACTCGGCGCATGTCCCATCGCATGGAATGTAATTGGTTTAGCCATCGATGGCCAGCATGAGGTTGTCCTCAGTGTTCATCAATTTCATGTGTAATTCTTAAAGTCTTAGGACATTTTAATTGGAAGGAAAATGAATGGTAATTCAGTCATCAAAGATTCATTCATTCCACAAACATTTCCTGAAATGATGATGGCAGAGTGGCTTCAAAACGGCCCCAGTGGGAGGCGGGCAGGAAGGATCCCCAAATTTAGCGAGTGAGTATGTGCAGTTAAGTGGGAAGTGCAAACAACAAATGCTGTTTCTCAGTGTCTCCCACGTGGTATACGGGACACACTTACACAACAACAGGGCGTGACGAGTGAGGCGGGGCTGGGGGCAAGGAGGGAGAAGGGAGACCCGGCCTGGGGAGGGAAGGGAGGGGTCTGTGGGTCTGTCCAACAGAAAGGGCTGGCGGGTTCCTAGGCAGGGGCACGGTCTGGGCAAAGGGCTGGCAGGAGACGTGTTTAAATACCATTTGCCTTTTAGCTCTCAGAGTAGGGGGGGGCTTCTGCGCTCAAACTCAGGAGCCACTTTGGCACCCTTTGACCTGGCATGGTCGTCTCGTGAGTCCCCCACAGGTACACTGGTTCTTAGGCGTGGATAAGCAGGTCCGTGAGTGGAACAGCCGCACTGCCCAACGCTGGGGCCCGGCTCAGCGCCCAGGGCAGTGGGTGGGGCGTGGGGTTTGCGTCCCAGTGGGGGATCTGGCCCAGCATGCTCCAACACTCCCTGGGTGTTATTACCCCATCCTTGGGTCAGTGGGAGCCACTGAAGGTTCTGGAGGAGGACGTGGTTTAGGAGAAGGTGGTGCTCTTGTTGATCCCGGAGGTGGGAATTGTGTGGCTGTGAGGACATTGTGGGGCCCGGATGTGGGGACAATGGCCCACAAACCTCCTCTTGGCCCTCACGGAGCATTCCAGCAGGTGACTCCGGCAGGCAGCCCACTCCCACTCTGCCCCCAAGAACCAGGTGCTCCCGGACAGAGCTTGTGACGGCAGTTTGAGGCACGGTGTGCTGTCTATGGCGGGGACGCCCCTTGGGTTCATGCTCGGCCTGTGGTCAGGAGCCAGACGGGCAGCGGGGCTAGTCCAGGTCTCGGCCAGGGACCCAACCGTGCAGGGCTTTGACCTCCCCACCCCCCAGAACTGCCTGTGAGCCGACGCTCCCCCATTTTGAGTGAGAACGGACCGTTTGCACAGCCACGCCATCGTTCATGGGTCTGCTATGAACCCACTGGAGACGCCTCACGTGGCTCCACCCATGGGGCAGTGACCGCCTGGCCCGGTCACCGCACCCAGGCTGCACCAAGGCGCGGGGTCTGCCACTTCTGTAGGCGGTAGTGGGCAGCCAGCTGGGAGGGGGCTGGACCTCACCGGCCAGGGGCCCAGCAGCCCCAGGTCCCTGCAGGAGGCTGAGACTATGGGGACTCAGATGCCACCTGAGTCTGCAGCCACGGGCAGGCGGGCCCCTCGGCCCAGGTAATGGGGCTCCTGAGCTCCTGCCGTGCACAGGCTCGTGTACAGCCGCATTTGCCTCCGCGGGGCGTCCGCCCTGCCTGCCCTGGCCCGAGCCCTGCACAGTGAAAAGGAGCGAACCAATTACCACTTAACAGGCAGGCGCCGCGTCTGGCTGCAGCCTTTCCGCCTCAGAGGCCAGCGGGGAGTGGCACATAATCGGCAGAAGTGCTTGTTGGCGGCAGAAGGCGGGACCCCTGGGGGACAGGACAGAGCTGGCCAGAAACCAGGGCTGGGGGCTGAGGGCCCAGTGTGGGGGAGGGGCACCAGAGATGTGCACTGCACCAGGCCTCCCGCCCCTTGACTCACTGCAGGCACCCCTTGGCCCAGCATACACTAGGCGCCCCATAAATGTTGAGCCGCTTGGAGACAGAGCAAGAGAGCGACACACCACTGGGCACAGAGGCCGGGGAGGGCCCAGGGTTGCTGGGGGCCACAGACGGCAGTGACACGAGGCCGGGGGTGCAGAGGAGTGTTTACTGGG